GATATTCTCCATGTTTTCATGTCAAGAGCTGTAACCCCAGCTGGACAAATTATTTTAGTCAAATGCAGCCCAACACTCACCTGCAAGATATTTGACAACATTTAAACCTGTGTTTCCAGTTTCTTTCAGTGGTGAGATGAGATAGTTATAACACGGCAACCTGTACTATGGTCATTCAGTTAGTTTGTTCTCATACTACCCAAAAGCAGACCCTCTGGATCTGCTTTTCGTATCAACTTGCACAAACCTTAGCTCGGTACCCATCCAGCAAGCTTCTGCATCTATTTGCCTGCAATTATGTTAGCACTTGTCCTACACATGAATCGTGAGCATGCCAACCTCCTCTGCTACACCCTATACACTCTTGCAAAATTTACTTTGCAGCTGTTGCAGGAAAATCTCTTTCCACCTTGTAGTGTTGTTCTCCCAACACATATGAGGTCTCAGTTAGGGACCATCTCAATCGACTGGCTGGGATAAGCAAACACATTTTGGATGACTGGATCTTGCTGTTCTGGAGCAACTTGTGATTTGAGACTAATAGGGTATGGGTGACAAATTTTCTAGGCACATTTTTCAGCCTTCCTCTGTGCCAGAGGCCTGGCCCATAACCATGGGATCATGGGAAGCTTCCACAGGGAAAACTCACCACAGGGAAACTGCACTCCTCCCATACACTTGAGAGGAAGGGTGGTTGATGCAGTCTGTATTCAAACTAAACATTGCTCAGTACTCTGGTTTAACCCTCACCGACATTTATTCCCTCTCAGGAGCAGTCACACCTCTCCTCTTGACTTTCATTTGGTGGGATTAAACAAGATAGGACTCCAGGCTTCTTTTTAAAGCCTTTCTAATCCCCTATCTATTTTAGAGGCCCTTTAATTCTTGTTTGATTTGTATGAATCTTTCTTGACTATCATTTACCAGTGCATGTATGGGTGCAGATGCAACATCACCCTTGCCTTCCCATTGTATTAACACATCCTGTACTCCACAGACTGTCTCAGCTGATAGATCTTCACATGCATTTCTCCATTTCATGGTTCAATCACATTGTCCATTGTGGCAGGTGCACCCATCCTGATGGAAAGACCGTTGAACCACAATATTTTCTAACTCTGGTGAAATATAAAAACATCTGCTGACTCTGGACTCTGGTGAAATATAAAAATATCTGCTAGTTCTGGCAGATAACTGCTGACTTTGTCCTGACTTGTGTAACCACAACATCTGCTGATATTTGCCACAACAAGGTTATACAACTGTCTTTTGCTAGATCCACATTTCTCTTGAAAGCTAAGACCCTCAGTCAATGAGGACAAATACAGTCATATTTTTGACCACAGATCAGATTCAACAGGGGTATAAATGGGGTTTCGCTGGAGGACAAATGAAGCCAGTCCTTCTTGGAGCAATAGGTTACAGTCAGGGACTCTCCACTTGGCTTGGGCTGCCTCCGAAGGAAAATCCTCAAAGTTGAGAGCCCTCGTCTTTCAGGTGAGTCATTTGTGCATTTTGGGTCATCATTTCTAAAGCTTCAGAATTTGTAAATTTGTTGTGCGGTAATTAATCCCTCTTACAAGCTGAAGCTATGGCTTGCTAATGTTGTTGGAGTATTAAATAATTTTTGATTAGGACAAATTTCCTCTGAGCTTATAACTTACTTAGGTTAATTTTGTGAGCCTTCACAACATTAATTTGTGTAGTAACTCGATGGAAGTAGCTTCTTGCCCTTTGTACTTCTTCCATTTGGCATAAACCATTCACCAAGTCTGGGACTAAGATTGGATCTAGCCACACCTAAACTCCATTAGGAGTTTAGAAAGCAAGGAGTCCACTCAGAACCTTGTGACTCAGTGGGAGGGTCTCCCTTATCCTTTTGTATTTCCAGTCTCTCTGTAAATCATTCTAAATTGATTCTAATCAGATTTTCCTTTGTATGTTTCCTCCATATAATAAGCGATGTAGTGAACCTTGATATCGAGCTTTAAGTTGAACTTTCACAAATTCACATTAAAACTACATTTGCTAATACCTTTGACAGTGACTCTTTAAGTGATCTAAATCATCATCTGTGACAAGCATCACAATCATTCTGTTCCAGTAATTTATCCAGGTCTTCAAAGTGCCCTGCTGTTTCCATCACCTGGTAGCAAATGTTCCCATTTAGCTCCCCATAGAGGACTTCATGCTCTGCCCTATTACATTTTGTTTATCAGAATATCAGTAGATAAGACCTATCACATTCTTCCATCTTAGTAAATAGATTTCAAACCTATTTTATTCAAATTTCCACTTTCCTTCAAGTGTTTCATTATTTCCCCTTCAAAATGTGTTCCACAGCCCTGCAACATGCTTAGTTCAGATTAGTAAGTCTCTGATTGCTTGAATTGCTTGTTACCTCCTTTTCAAATAAAATTATTAAAATCTCTTGAGTTGGATTTTGTGGACTTTTTTTTCCCCTCTTGCTACCTTCCCTGGTTTGACAGATTCTCACAAAATCCTTACTGACAGATCTGCATTTTCATGTGCCAGTTCTCAACAGTATTTTTGAAAATGAGTTATTTGGGCCCCCTACTCCATTGCTTTAATTACCTTTCATGTTCATTCATGGATGTACTCACATTCAAACATTTCTTGTTAACCAAGGAAAATATAATCAATCCTATGTTGAATATTGTCTTCACTGAACATGAGGGAGAATGTTTACCTCCTCTTTATCATATAGAAAGATAATCTTTAGCCCTAAAGCTGCCCAAAACTTCATCCTTGTCCCATTCTAAACCAATCTCACATGTTATTTATTTTTATTTCTGCTTTCTCATATAGTCAGGAGTTATTTATTACTGTTGCAGTTTCCTGTTCATGGTCTAATTCTCTTTTACACTGGAAATTCTTACCCATTTCATTTTCTGACTTTAAAGTGTGGATTTCTTTTAACAGAACTCTTTGTCCCACTGTCTCTAAGCTCTCTCCTTGCTGATAATACTCTTAATTGAGACAGTTATTTACCTGTTTAAACTCAATCTCTATAGTTGGAATAGAAGCCCCAACTTTTTTTGGACTTTGAATATGTTATTTTGATCTAAAACCACTAGGAGGAAGCGTTCAACAAGTTTCACTGTCCTGTTGCAGATCTCAGTCATAATTTTATGATATTCAGAGAGTTTCAAGCAGGAACCAAGGGATCTGCTGGGTCACACATCACCTTGAAAGTGCCATGGCACATAGTCCCTTGAAGAAATATTGTTAATTCACGTTTAGGTCAGACTGTCTTCTCTGCTCCTGACACAAAGGGTACTCCATCCTCTGAAGTACAGAAGTCACTTCTAATTTCCAGGGTATTTTTTTTCCCCTGACTATTCAACTTGTAGAAATTTTTCTCCCTTGCTCATATTTTCCCACCTGCTTTATTTACTGAGAGCTATGATGCGTCTTCTCAACTGTTATTTCTAAGCCGAACAAACTAAACTTGAACCTCCTTTCATAAAATAGATTGTAATTCATTCTAGTATTGCTTCTCTACACTTGAACCAGTTTTAACTCACAGCTGTTGAATTGCAAAGGTATCTGGCAAACAGAAGGAAAAAAAATGCTTTTTTCTTTCATGTGTAATAAGAGTTTCATGCCATGCAACTCCATTGACTGGGGTGCAAATATTGAAGACCTTTCCATTACTTTGGTTTCCTGTGAAAAATGTGTGTGCTTTAGGTAGTGAATCAAGCCCACTACAGAGAGATAGAGTTCTTCTGGTATTCGCATGCCCTTCGTTGGTGTATTTATTGTGCTACACCATTATCAAAACAACAAACAAAAGCATCAAGTTATTGAGCTGGTGTTTCTCATGGGCTGTCAAAGGGAAAAGCCCTCTCAGCCCGCATGTTTTTGTTGTGTCTTTTAATAACCTGTTTAAAAATGCAGTAATTTGGGGTAAAATTTGTAAGTGATACATAGATTATGGAAGAGGTAACTGTTGAAGAGACCAGGCTGTTAGTGCAATGCTCTGAGAATAGTGGCTAAAAGGGGACAAGCACATAAAACATTGTTCACTATGATCAGAAAGGATGGCAATCCATCTGGAAACAAGACTGTATGCCACACAGCCATCACAAGAAAATAGGATTTTAGTATGGACATCGGTAGAATACAAAATTAAGAGGGATCAGAGGAGAACTGGAAGTATTAACGAACATGGTAAGAGACTTGCCTTCCTCCAAATAAGATTACCTTTACTCAGCAGGGCTTCTTCATAAGGTAAAATTCACCCTAGGGGGTACCTGTCATTTCTTGCACCATTAGACAATTCACTTAGGGTACCAGATGATCTTTTGCACCTGATCCCCTACATTGTTGGAGCTCTGACTCAGCTTCAGTCTTCCCAAACAGAGGGATTTCAGTGAGGCTTGTAGGTAGCTGACTATCAATAAAAAATTCTTACAGTCAAAAATACCCCTTCCTGGCACACAGACTGGCAATGATGGGTTGCACTACCTTTGGATATGGATGCGTTTAAATACATAATCTCCTAAGAGGATGTGATGTCAGAACTGTTCAGTGAACACCCAAATCAGTGAGAATGCTGCAAGTGTCTCACTACCGCTTCTCATTGGCCCCTGCACATCATGGGAAGCAGACATGGAACAGGTGGAGCTGGAAAGCAAAATCTCACAAGTGCCATGTAGCCAACTCCTGAACTGTGGTGGGTGTTTTAAAAATTATTGTATCCAACTAAAAGCATTTAATTTTATTAACTATTTTGTAATTGTTAGTTTTATTTTTTATTGTGAAGGAATAGAGTTGCCTGGGTTCCAATGGCACAGAGTTATTGACTTCTCTGGTACAACACAGTCAATGTGCACCTGTCTTAAAATCTGAGGGAGTATTAGTCAAAACTAACCAAAAATTCTATGATACCAGGAATGGCTATGAGAGGCTAAGAGAATACTACAGAGGAAATTAAAAGGTATTATAAATATTATTTATTTGTAATCAGTGTTCAGGCAGTCTTAACTAAAACCAGTCTCATTATTAGGTGTAATTTATCATTCATAGTAAAAGAAAATTTCTGTCCAAAAAGCTCACAATCTCAATACATAGAAAAGACAGGAGAAGAAGAAAGTTACACAAGACAGGACATATAACTGCCACCGTAGAGAAGGGGTGTTGAAAAGAGTAGGCAACTTGCTACAGGTTGCAAGCAAAGTGTACAGGAGGTCCCACTCAGTCACAAAACTCAGTTTTGTTTCTGGCTGAAGGCAGAGTGGAGGGAAAAGCTCACCTAAGCTTTGCCAGAACCTGTCAAACCTAACAATGACCACACAGCTACAGCCTTGCAACTAAGAAAAAAATAAAGAGCATCTTATGCTAGCCTGTGTGTAACGTGTTTGAAGTTTAAATAAGAAATTAAAATGTCAAGAGTGATTTATGACTATGGCTAGTGCATGAGAAAGGATAACACAACAGTCATTAGACAGCAAAGTGCATCAACTGGAAGTATCTCCAAAGTACATGTATAAAGGACATAAGACTGAGTACTGTTTGGGCATGTGTTTTTCTGAGAAGCCCAAGCTAGTAAGGACACGAAGAAAAATAAAGAACTTCAAAAAGAAAATTCAGCAAGGAACACAAGTGACCACATGCATGCATAGTTTCATGAGAAGTAGAATTTATGGTTACATCCTTAGTCTTATGTTAACCCCAGACTCAAATACGTCAACCCAGATTTCCTAATTGTCCACATTACTTGTACTTTGGTTTCTTCTGATCTTTGCAGGAGAGAGAAAGCTGGTCCCCCCATCAAAGAAGCACAGGCAGAAGGAGGAAAGGCTCCTACCACCAGTGGAACACATTTAACTTATGTCAAGGCCTCGTTCCATGGCCACAGATGATGCTCACTACCACAACCCAGGGCAGCTCAGATGGAGCCCACATGGCGCTCCCCACCCGAGTTTCTTATGTCTAAGGGAGTGGTCAGGTGATGCTACCAATTGCCTCCCAGTGGAAATGTAGATTTGTGTCTCTTTACCACATTGGCAGGGATGGGCTTGAGCATGAAACTTAACCATTCTGTGAAGTTTGAGAAAAGTATGGAATAAACACAATTTGTTATGGAATGACTGATGGACACAGCACTGCTGCCTTCACCTCGCTGCCAGAGGAAACAAGATTTTAAAAAATAATCCTCACAGACCAATATAAAGCAAGGTTTTACTCAGATCAGTACAACTTCTGTAACACTGAGTTGTATTTATTATTTCATCAAGCTGCAGTAATATAACTACAATAACATACATGCCATGACTTACTCTGTGAATCAATTATGTTGGAAGAAGCCCACTACACTGTGCATATCTGTGGATCATGCAGTGGTTATGTTTGTAGTACATCTGTCCCCAAACAGAAAGGAAAAAAAAAAAAAAAAAAGCAGCCATTTGCTTAACAGGTTTGTAATGAGACTATCAGTTAGGAAAGGACTAAGGGTAAATTTTAGCTCCTTTCCATTCAGCAGTTTATCTTAACACTGACATTCCTTTCCTGTTCTCCAGCAGATTCGTTAGTGCTTGGGCTTTTCTCTGCTTCTTTGCACCAAGGGCAATGTCAGCAGATGTTACCTATCACTGCTGTGAATATGCTGCAGCACTCAGGTACTGTGGGACCTGCTTTGCAGTGGGGTGCCCTTGATCAAACAGATCCAAACCCTTTCTCTGCATACGTAAACACTGAACAAAGCTGAATGTAACAGAGCCAAAGGCTACAATTTAGCAGCTACCATAGTTAACTGATCATGATCAACAGACTTTGTTTAATAGGGAGGTTGCCTCAGCTGATAAGTATTTATAATATCAACTTCTGTGAACATTTTAAAATATCCTTAACATCGTCACTGTTGAACTATTTAATGTCTGGAGATTGTTGATTACCTGTAGTTTCCCCATTCTCAACCATGAGATTGTCACTACTGACTCTTGTGACACTGTCATATGATGGAGGAAAGGATGCTGAGGACAAAGTTTCAGACTTGTCAGGACTCCTAGCATAGTTTTCACCCATCATAGATGCAATAAGTCCTTCTTTTTCTGGAGCAGCATCTCCAAGAGTGTCAGTACTGCAAGTTCTGTGATGGTACAGGTAAGAAGCCTGCTTTATGGAGCGCAGGAGCAAATGACTCCTGTAGGCACGCTGGATTACAGTGGCAGAAGCTTCCTCTTGTCTGTGTCTGAGCGTAGTAGAGATTGGCTCATAGGACTTTTTTGATGGATTGGCAGCCATGAACTTCTCCTCCATTTGTACTTTTAGAGTATCCAGCTCCCCAGAATCTCCTAACACTCGTTTGGTAAAAGCAAATAAGATATCCAAGCAGTGGATCCTGTCTCCACTGACCATAGGCAGGTCCATTGCTATGAGTTCAACTTTGTTTGGTTTTGGTACACGTAAAGGTTCAGCCAGAGCATCTGCAAAGTCTGAAAGCACAGAGAAAGTTATAAACTGAGTTGCCTCGGGATCAAACTTCTCCCAGATTTCATAAAAGATGTCAAAGTCATCTTCCCCTAAAGGTGCTGTACTTTCCTCAGTAGCAGCATTGAAGTTCTCCAGAATAACAGCTATATACATGTTTACAACAATGAGAAATGATACAATGATGTAACTTACAAAATAAATAATACCTATGGCAGGTTTACCACATTCACCTATAGTACCATTTATGTTTGGATCACAATATGGTGGTCCAGTGTTTAAAATAGGACTGAGAAGACCATCCCAGCCAGCTGATGTTGTGATTTGGAAGAGACAGAGCATGCTGTTAGCAAAGGTTTGGAAGTTGAACATGTCATCAATGCCATCCTCCATCTTCACATAGGCAAAATTAGCCATGCCAAAAATGGCATAAATGAACATGACCAGAAAAAGCAAGAGGCCAATGTTGAACAGAGCAGGTAGGGACATCATTAATGCAAAAAGCAGAGTTCGAATTCCTCTGGCAGCCCGAATGAGTCTCAGTATTCGTCCAATCCGAGCCAAGCGAATGACCCTGAAGAGTGTAGGTGGTAAGAAATGTTCAAATGCTTTACCGATGCCAGAAAGTAGTAAGGCTAAAATGAAAAAGACAACAGTTGGTTAGAATATCACATTTCTGCTTAACTAGTAAGTAGGGTGAAATGATAATATCTGTATAGTATAGTTGAAAAATATCTGACGTGTGTGTGGTAAGACCCTTTCAGAACAACCTTTAATAGAAGATAGAGTTGAAAAAATAGCTGTAGAAACCAGAAGTTATGAACTACATTCTTCAGCCACCACAAAATAATACCTGTTGCACTAAGGATGGCGAGCATCTTTCTATGCACAACTTCAAATACCCGTATCAGTTGACACTCGTTGACTGAGGGTTTTCTCTGAAACTGGTTACATGAATACTTCAGCGGGTGCAGGTTAGGTATTGACTTTCCAAATCTGACTTCAAATACTGATATTACAAAGCTAAACTAAGTAAACAAGATATAATAACACTGTAACGGTCATAATTTAGATAACATGTAGTCAAGATATGCAAACCCAGTGGTGAACATAGAAGTTCTGCATGCCACTCTACAATGGTTTTTAGTTTATTCAGGGCCATAGCTACCATATGGATGTTATTTTATCCTTAGTTTGCATGAAAAAATGACAGATCTAGCAGCACTAGAGAGGTTTCATTTTTCTAAGTTTAGATGTTCTGGATACATTTTTCTGGATTTCCACTCCAGGAACTTAATTTGTCAAGGAAGAGCCATATTCTTACTAGAATATTACTTACCCAGAAACTTAATTAATACTAAAGGAACAAAATATTTTTTTCTTCCCCTAAATGCCTTCTGCAGTTTTGGCAGTACTGGCCCTAGGAATAGCTAAATTGGCAGAAAGCTCAAATTGGCAGGACTCTTTAACCCATTCTTTCATTGCAATCCTTTCAAATAAAATACATTTGTGGTGTTCATTTCTATCCTGAAAATAATTGTTCACACTCTGTAGCAATCAGCTATTCCTGAGTTTCCAGAAACCGAATTCTCTAGTCTATAATCTAATTCCAGTCAATTCTCTGTTACAAACACAGATGACAAAACCCAGCAATTTCTATCTGATTGGAGATTTCTTAGTTGGCACTAAATCTGTAACAATGGAAATTATCACATAATGTGGTTCTTGAGGTTGTTTTTTTCTAGTCAGAAAGACAAAATGAATAACCATTATGAATGTTTTTACATAACACAGCTGCCTTTTTTCTTTTTAATACTTTTTAAAAAAGAAAATAACAGAAATTTAAGAAATATTATTTAATATTATTTTAATATAATCATGGTGGGATTTTTAGCTTGTTTTCCTCAACACTTTACAGTATTATGATTTCCATTTCAATGTCCATTTGCAGTTGATACATATAAACTATTTTTTTCTGAAGAGAATAATAATTGATTTAGTAAAGAATTTGCCAAACCAATTTTACTTACCAATAAATGACATGATCACAACAACCAAATCAAATATGTTCCAGGCATTTGAGAAATAGTACTGCCTCAGAGCCACCAATTTCAGTACACATTCTGCAGTAAATATGGCAATGAAGAGTATATTGATTTGGTTAAGTACGTTAGTCTTTGTTGCACTTTGCTCATAGGTTTCCACCATCATGGTGATCATGTTAAGGCAGATGAGAATCATGATGACGACATCAAAGGCTTGGCGTGTCACGATGTCAAAAAGGAAACCTTGGTATCTGTTCTAGAAAAAAATACATCTGACATCAGTTATGAAAGTATAGTGTACTCATCCATACATGTTTCCAACAGCTCCAGTTTTTATGTTGCAGTCACTTCACTGTAGAGAAGTTAGAGAAATTTAAGAAAGGCAGAATATAAAAATGACATTAAAAATTCCTTCCCATCCTGAAGTTTAAAACCCAACAATAATTATGCAGAGGACTGAATAAATATTTAACCTGTAAAATCTTTCAATGTAATTTTTTGTTATGGAGTTGACTTCAGAGCACTATCTGAGTATCACTGTAAAGACAGTATAAATAATTTATATGCAATATATAAACACATGCACTTTTCAGTGAATTAAATTGCACTTTTGCAATGCATTTTCCTTCTGAAGAATTCAGACAGTCTTACCAGTGGTCTTGGAATGGGTTTTTGAGGTTTCTTGGATCCCAACTTTTTCATTGCATTGTAATATTTTTTCTGTTCTTCTGTCATAAAGATATCTTCCCCACCTAGGTATATAAAGAAATGTCATTGTTATTTGGTGAGAAAGCAACACTATTGTTGTTACAAAGTCTAAAATGCTGGAAACTAACATTCCTTCCTTTTTCACATCTTGCTCGTATCAGCCCTTTTCATAATGCATAATTGTGTCTAAAAGAACACAGTGGCACAAACTATACATTCACAGAGCAGAAGTCCTGGGGTGAAACTCAGCTAGCTCAGAAAGCATGAAAAAAAGGATCTACTGAACATCTGAACTGGAAGAAATCTTTCCCTGACTTCCCACATCCTGCTCCTGTTGAATATCCAAAATATTCATCAGAACATCTGTACCAGACTACTTCTGAGTAACTAGACTCTTGTGCTCGGTTTCCAAAAAGGAACAAAATTTTAAGGGGCTGTAGAGAAGATGTCATTGCCTTCAAAATGTTGGGAAAGAGCTAAGTGTTCAAGTTATAGGTGAAAAGAAAGGAGGAAGAAACTCGTCCTGGGTGATACTTCTGCTAACTTAATTACTAATGCTCTTGTAAGCCAACAGAATTTTTAGATTCTATGCATAACAAGGACCTTGTTCTCTAAAGATAGCATTGCTCGAGATACAGTATGTTCCTGGGTGCACAACCAATATACTTATCTTTTTCTTTTGTTGGTTGAAGTTGTCAATAATAACACCAACAAAGAGATTAAGGGTAAAGAAAGATCCAAAGATGATGAAGTTCACAAAGTAAAGATACATAAATAGACTATGCTCCATTTGCGGCTGATCATTTACCTGCAAGAACGAAAAGCAACATGAAAAATTACCGGTGAAAACATGGGCTCAATTTAATTTAGCATAATCTTCATATTGCAGATCCTCTCATAAATTGATTCCAGGAGGAAACAATATTTACAGCTCTACTGCTAATTCTAACAAAATTGGTATAGTTTAAAACTACCAGTAGTGAATAATACAAAATATTGTATTTGTATTTAAACACAATGATTCTTTTAGAAAGAGTATGAAATGGTGGAAGAAAGTAACATTCATATAGTGGCTACCAGATGCATCAAAATTCTGGGACCTCCTAGGTCAGATTTTTTGCTCAGATGCTAACTGCTTTTCCTTCTGAAATTGAAGATGAACCTTACAAAATGATACAACAAGCACAACACCTGATAGAAATCTAACCAGAAAACACAACTGAAATTAATAGTACTACAAAGTGTTTATACTATGAAAGCTTGTTAATTTGATTTCTTTTACAGTGTTTGTTTATGTAGTTTCTGGCTAGATCATTGCAGAACAGGATAATTTAATTCATACTGATAAATTTGCATTGAAAACTTGTAGAGAAAACTTAGTCTTTGACTAATGATGAATGAGGTTTGGTTGTTGGGTTTTTTTGGTTGGTTGGTTGGTTGGAATTTTTTACAAAAGCTGATTGTTGTGGGCTTTTTCTATTCAAACCTGACTTAGAACCCTACCATTTGCAATTGATTGAGGCCCTGCTAAAGTCAATAGAAACAGTCACTGAATTGGACATTCTTGCCGTGATTTTCACAAACATTTCAGAAGCATCAGTTCAGCTTCTTCCAATAAGAGATGTAAATTGCTCAGTACTTGAAAAATCAAGCAAACTATTTAGAATTCTAATTCTAAGCCCATGCCATTAAAAATATCAGCTTAGATATTTTTTTCTTCTTAGCAAAAAACTTCTTTTATGATTATAATGGATAAAAACAAAACCAGAACAAGAAAAATAGTTTATCAAATTGAAACACTCCCCACCCACCCACTCCCACTGTTTTTATATATGGTTACTTTTAAAATTATTTGATTCCTTTGAAGTCATGATCAAATTAAGATAGTCTCTTCATTTTAAATTCTTTGCCTCCAAAGACATACCACTTTGTTCCATGTAACACTGGATGATACTTCTGATAAGGAAGAAGACATTATTGTTGACATAAACAGTAGGTAAAATAGTACTAGTGATGCCTGACAATGTATTTTAAATGGTTACTTATCCACAATAGTTTGATTCTTGATAAGTTTGTGTTTATGTTTTGAAAAGGGCTTTCGTCTATGTCACTGTAAAACATTCAGGTTTACTCCAAGTTTGAGTTTCATAAAAGATGTGTGAAGGTAGGTGCCTCCATGTGAGTGGAAACTCTGAACTCCCCTGCTAGCTGATGGACATTCAGTTATTAGTAGAGTCAATGTAGTATAAAAAGGTGTTCAGATGAACAATGTAGATATCCAGGGTAAGCTGAAATGCTCCCTAGATCCCTCTGAGCATACTGACTAGATATCCATTAAACATATGGAGCAATTGGAAGTGAACTCATATGGAGACCTTACAGTATAGGTACTGCATTTAGGTGAGTGGATCTAGAGTTGAATCCCGCTACCCGTTACAACAGATTAGGATACGATGAGTCATTCGTAGATGAAATGTTTACATCAGCTGATAAAAATAATTACTGGAAGGATCTAGCACAAACAGCAGATATAAAAGTGCAAAAATCATAACACTTTAGCAGAAAGCAGTAGCATTAACAAAAAATACAGTTTGAATACAATGACTGACCTCTCGTGAATCTACTGCCGCATACATGATGTCCATCCAACCTTTAAATGTTGCCTAGAATGAGAGATTATGGAAGACATGTTGAACTTTCAGTGTAAAAGTCTTCACATCATTTATAACATCTGAATGACACTGACTGGCGTGAGAACCTTTGGTATGGTCGCCCACATAAAGCACCAAGCTCTGATTTTAGGGAAACTACTGACTCCTGCTGTGTGTATGGCATTCTCAGGATGTGAAAGATTGCTAGGGTGGGACAGAACATGTTGTCCTAGGATGATGACAGGACAAAACTTCATTAGCACGGTCTCCTGAAGACCTTACAACCCTCATGGCTGAAAAAAATCTGTATTACAGAAGATTAGTTCAGTATTCGGCTCAACTTTCCTCCTGAGATTGACTCCACCTCTCAATCTCATGAACCTACTGGAGGCTGAAGCACCACCTGTCTACCAGATCCCTCCTTACCACCTGGAAAATCACAGCAGCATCTAAATTGTCTCCCTATTTCCACTTGTGTGCATGGACAGTACTGGTGTTTGAACAGCCATCTACAATGGAAGAGCAGGCTGTATGATACCATTCTTTTCCATCACCCAGAGATGACTTAGGAGTTGACAGGAGGTCAAGCCCATCTGACATGGTGCTGGCTAGTGAAAGCAAGCAGCACTTACCACCTGAAGAAGAGCCAAGTAGCCAGAGCCAACATTATCAAAGTTGACTTTAACATTGACCCAGAATATCTTTCCTGTGTTATTGTATGTGCTACAGTCTGTTTTGTTATTGATCAAACTATTTAATTCTGAATCTTCTTCTGTCAGATTGACACATTTCCCAAACTTCCCAGCAAAAAGGTTCACGCCCATTATGCTAAAGATGAGCCAGAAGATGAGGCAGACGAGCAGAACATTCATGATGGAAGGGATGGCTCCCAGGAGGGCATTGACAACCACCTGGGATGAAATGATAGAGGAAAAACACACTTTAACAAACATGGGCTCAGTGCAATAAGGAGTCACTTAGTCATCTCAGAAAACAGAAACTTAATCTTTTCCGTGTAAATACTAGTCATAGCTGACATGGGTACCCTGAACTAAGATTCAAAGGTCCATAGTATCTCTTAGGATTTCAAATGAATAACTGATACTTTTTGGGCTGCTGTGAGCCACTACCACATAAGTATACTACAGTGCATTCCATTCTCTTTTGATGAGTTTCTCTTGGTTTTGGAGTTGGGGATGTTTTGTTTGGTTTTTTTTGTTTGATTGAAACTTTTATAATGTAAAATTTCTGAAGTATTCATTCATAAGCTCTATTGCAGAGGATTGTATTATTGAGACTGTAGAAAGTAGTTTTTAAAAGGACCAGTAATAACCCTCCACTAGTATTTTTCTAGATCTATTTTTTTCAGTGGATTGTGTTAGTGTCTTCTGTGGTCTATAACCATGAACTAGGTACTTTTTCTCTGCTAGGTGCTGTAAAATCACAGAAAATGTCCATATATATTTTAAGTGTATGCTAAGGCATAACAGATTGCTTCATAAAATGGGGCAGTGAAAGGAAACAATGAGACTTTATCTTTGAGTTTCACAATGAAGACAATGAACTCAGCGGTCAGGTAGCAAAAGGGGAACTTGATGGACCAGAAGAAAAATGAAGCTTCTTGAAGGTTTGTGTAGACCACGTCACATACATTCTGCATAGCAAGACAAAGTGTGATGGTACCTGTTTCAAAATCAATGCCAGACACAGAAATTTTGATACAGTCTGTTAATTACTTTAATGCAATTTCTCTCTGCCTTCACAGTGACAAGATTGCAGTCAGAGCGCTTTCAGTCTCACTTTCAGAAGATATCCAAAATCAATCCATATCTCAGCTGCATTCCCATGTAAAAGTGTGACAGTGATGCCATATGTATTTCTGTCATCTGTTTTCACATACCAGAGTATATTCCATAGACCAGACTTTTGCCCAAATGTCATGGTAGTTATCATACTGTTTCGCATGTACAGCTGTGTTTTGCATGTGGCTGAGGGAATCCTTCTCTGCATTTGCATAATGGTAGATTTGTAATTAAACATAATTAATGCCCAACATCTTCAAGCTGTTGCAGGTGCTCTTTTGATGGAAAAAAAAAGCAGCAAATATTCTACAGGCAAACACTCCTGCTTTTTGAAAGAAGAAGTCTATTTGGAACAATAATTTGAGTAAAGTAACTCTTAATAGTCTAAAGTTCTTGTAAATCAATCCAGTAAAAACTTACAGAATGGAGGTGATTCTTCCTTCTGAATTAGCTTGCCATCAGACTTCAAAATTTAGAATTGTGCTCACAGTTCTTATTTGTTTTATTTTTGGCTATCTCAGTAAGACCAGAACACAAGAATATTCCATTGTTACTCAGTCAGAGTTCTGCCTAGTCTAGTTTTAGTTTCAACAGCACTTAGGATCAATCACTCAAGGACAGTCCATAAGGAGCAGCCAAGTACAGAGGAGTGCAGAAAAGATACCTTTTAAAAATTCATTTTATAGGTCTTAAGCTGAACTTCAGGTAGACATGTGAACTTCATAAAGACAGAGTCATGAATTACAAACCCATTACATGTTTATTAGTACTGACAGGCTTTAATTTGTATTCAGTCTTACCCTCATTCCCTCGAATCGTGACAATGCTCTTAAGGGTCTTAGAGCTCGGAGAGTCCTAAGAGATTTCATGGGGCCAAATGAACTGCCTAAGAGGTTTATTAAAGAGACCTGAATGGGAAGACAAAATAAAGTATTAACAATGTCCTGACACCTTTGCTTTACTCCTGTTAAAAAAACCCAAACAAGAACAAAACTAAATCTGTCCACATATTCAAAACCCAGAGTGCAATATCCTGAAACCATCATTAAAGGAGTCAAGAGTACTGTCTTAACTTTGCATCCAGAAAATAATCACTGATTCTGTTATTATAGCCTGTGTCAGGACTTGTGTAGAAACATCAAAGGCAGAACTTACATCTACAATGAGGAAGTCCAGCCAGCACCAGGCATTGGTGAAATACTTCTTGAAGCCGTAGGCCACCCATTTCAGGAGCATCTCCAGAACAAAGATGAAAGTGAACATTTTGTCAAGAAATGCTAACATAATTTTAATACTTTTTCTCTCATTTATATGGATATCTTCAAATGCCTGAAATCATAACATATAGACAAATGGCAAAAGTCAGAGATGAGCTTTGTAAAATGAAAGCCTAGCATCATTAAGACCCCTTCATCATTCAGTATGGTTTACACAGATCTAAATACCTTCTTTTACTCAAATATATGTCAGCTGATAACTGTGTAATTCTCCCTGTCCCTTCTCTTTCTTTTTCACTATATACTACAGCCCTGTGGACACACACATCATGTACACTGGAATCCTAGGAGGAAAGTAGATATTTGTGGAATTTTTTTTCAAGAAGTTTATACATTGAAGAGAATTAAGTACTACTTTTTTTCAGGTATTAAGAGTCATTTATTTGTTTTAATGTCATAAAAACTCCTTTATATTTCACAAATATGAAAAAAAATCAGCTTTAGTCATGCTCTAATTTTTAATAATATGACAGATATACAATAATTACAATAGTGAATAAATGACCGCTATGTAAAACCTATTTTCTCCTTATGAGTTCAAAGATATTTGCTGTGTTTTCTATTGAAAGAATTTGTCTGAGTTCAAATTAAAAATGCTTCTAAATAAATACATGAAACTGTGCTGCACTAACCAGGGCTCCGCTGCTCAGAAGAATCATGAATATGATAAAGGATTCAAACCAGGAGTGTTCAACAATCTGGTAGCAGGTTTTTCTCAGATTCCACCAAGTTTCTCCTCCAAACTTTATGGCACTACCCACATAACAACGAAAGTATCGAACACAACCTGAAAGCGAAAGACAGCAATGAATGTACTGAGTTCCTTCCATACAATGAATGTATGGAAGGAATGTACATGCATGTGAAGGGCTGCTCAAGAAACTTCTGGGGGCAGAGAAAAGTCAATGGTCACATTAACTGCATCATTGTTTCATGTCTTGCCAAGAGGAAAAAAAAAAAAAAAAAGAAACATCTAATTTTCTTTGCCTTGTAACTCTTATTTATATACACATAAACTAAGTGGAGCCCTTTGGACAGCTTTCCACTGTTTCAAGATATTTCTGTAGATACAGGACACGCTCTTATTGACCTGCTATTTGGGCATACAAAACTTCAGGGTCATGCACACTCTTTAGAAGGCAGGCGCAGATACCTTGGAACAAAAAGGATTGGAGACACAGAAGGTAAACTGTTGTCTTCAATATTGCAGCATTATACTTGCAAGGTCCATTAATTTCTTGATTTGCTTTTGAATGTATGGAGTGACTGATTTTATGCCATATAGCTAGAATATGACATAGTCTTTCAGATTAACACACAGGCTATTTTCAGGCTCATCAAATTATTTCTTATAACAAACAATGACACCAGAGTCCTCTAACATTTTCTGACCACCCCATCACAAAATCCTGGGTTTGATTACTTATTATTTTTGCCAAGAACTAACTCACTTTGGCTAACATCTTCCTTGCTCTGTGCTATTCCAGGTTTTCATTATGTCAGAAAATGTCAGTCATTTCCAAGCATGAGAAAAAATGTATCTATGTGTCATATATATGTGATAACATATATGTATTATATCCTTTCATATATATGATAGGATATAATGTATGTAAAAAGATCTGATCATCTTTCTTTCATAATCCCAGTTTCCCCAGTAATGTGGATCTGGGAGATGATATGAGGTAGGTTTTTTTTTTTTTTTTTTTTTTTTTAGCACAGAAATCTGTGTTAGGTATAGATTCGCTGCACCTTCGGTTGAGTTCTATAATGGTTTGTCCACAGCAGGCACACTCCAGCCTGGGACTACAGAGCACAAAACATTTAATATTTCTTCTCTGGAGAGTGTGTGTGTGTGTGTATAAATAATTATTTCTTTTGTTCTAACAGCTGTATTGGCAAAAAATGCCATCGATAAAGGAGTTTTGAAAAAACCCTGTAGCTCAAGAATATGGATTATTAATGAAATGTTTGTGGTTTTTTTTTTTTTTTTCTGAAGAAAACAAATTGCAAGGTTGGTAGTGGATGTCTCAGGATTTATGATGTATAACAGTGAAAATATATATATATATTATTACTACATAGAGAATACTTTGCATTCAGATACACCTCTCTAGTTCCAGATAATTTCTACATGCTTCATTGTTATTCAATCCTAAAACTGTGCATTAGAAGTTTTATTGACCCAAAAAGGGCACAGGAAAAAAAAAAAAAAAAAAAAAAAAAAGGCCAGCTCTGCAGAACAGTACAATGAGGGGATGGGAGTAATTGCAGCCAGATTTGATTTATCCATGTTTTTTTCAGATAAAATATCCAGGAAGTGGCACTTGAATGAGAAGGCAGTGATGAGAGAAAGGCTTTGCCTTTGGGGGTGGAGAAGGAAAGCAAGCTCAGAGAGATGTGTGACCTGTTGCTGGGCTCCACATAGGCAAGGAAGGCTGGAGAAATCCCTCATGGTCATTTTGTGGTACAGGGAAGCTTGAACGAACAGAAAACAACAGAATCAAAGAAAACTTTGGGGATGGGTGGTAATGGTGGTGGTCAGCCAGGCTGACTGGATGAGCAAAGAGAAAGTTGGAGCACCAGGAAGAATTTTGCCACAGTTATAATTTGTTTAATGCAACACACTTGGAAGAAACAAGTCTATAAACTGACTTTATATAGTTTATTCTCCCACAACTAATTCCAAGAGTGAAGAGATTATTCCTGGACTTCAGTACTGACTGTTATTTGGGAAAAATCTCAAGAGCTATTTCTTTGCATCTTATCAAAAACACATATTGTTACAGATGTTAGAGTAGGAAAAATTCATGAGAGGGCTTAATACACCCCATAACAACTTGTAAACCTAGATGTACGATGATCTAAGAAGGAATTCCTAGATTAGCACCCTATAGAAATTCAACTTCAATCTAGCGGCTTCATTCTATTTATTTCACTCCTTTGTTACGGAGATTGTCCGTGAAACGCTATTCAAGGAATAAACATTTATACTGTTGTATTAACAGATCTGATGTGCCAAGTGTCTTGCTCCAGTGGCCAATGCCAGGTGAGACCTGATCACATAGACTTCTCTTATGTTAAGCCCCAAAAGTGACTTGGATGCTGTCCAATAGAACGAAACTCCTCTCACTTCACTGTAATAATCTAATTTTTAGTGACTGGGTCTATACCACTGCCCAGATCCCAGTAAAACAGCAATTGTCTTTAAGGAAAAGAGGGTTTATTTTTCAGGTGTCAAGATCTCTCTCTTGACTAGAGAGGGAAAATGATTTGGACAATTGATCTGATTTCTAGATAACTACAATTAACTGAAAATAATCTGCCCCTATTGTCTCAGCATCACTAGAGAAACAGGTTGGGTTCTGACTTTTCTCACTCCCCAGTAATGAAATCACGAGAGCCTTACCTTCCGGAAAACATTTTTCAGGAGTCTTGAAGTCTTCAGAAAACTCTGGAATCTGTCTCAAAAGATCTTCAGGATTTGTCAGATCCACTGTGCTGCATTCAGAAGGGCTGATGCTGGCAAACTACCGAGCAAAGTAAGATCAGGTATTGATTCTTTCCACATTCAGTTCCAAATGAATAAATTAATCCATGAACAAATAAAATTCAAATTAAAACTTGGCTATGTACTAATATTTCAGTGTCGGTAATGGAACAAACTTTGTGATTTTAAAACTATATGAGCTTAGAATTACTAATAGGTGCATCAAAAGCTGTGTAATTGCAATATCTATCTACATGAACCAGATGTAACTGCCTAATAAGCTGGTAAATCGAAGCTTTTAAATTGATTATAAGTATATGTATCCTCAAACCAGAATAAACTACTTGGGTTAAAACCGTGAAATCCTAGAAAGTTGCATTCAAACAGGAGAACCAGATAAATGTATCTGGTGTTGTATCAGGAACTGAACATCCATGACAGTATTTACGAAGTAGAAATGGGAATCATATCATATAGTCTCCAGTTACAAAGCTTTTTGCTGTCCCATTAAACCATATATAATGTATGATAAGGAAGTAGTTTGTTACAAATTATATTTTTGTTCTTTTCTATCTGTGTATTGCTGTTTGTTTTTTGAATATATTCTTTATTCAAAATTATGCTAAAAATACTTTTAATTGATTACTATCTCTAATGTCATAGTGAGAAACTGATTTAAAGTATTATGTTTCTTGAAACTGAGAGACTTGGGATACAGGCAGACTTGCCGGAATTTCCCACTGGAAGCATATTTCTGTTTCAATGCTTTTTTTTTTCGCCCTTGTTTCCTTTTTTTGTGGGCTCAGATTTCAACAAATGGAAAGTAGCAGAGAAAATGTTATTAATTATTTGTTTGAATCAAATTATTTTGCCATTTTTCCATTTCTAAACACTCTCTTTTCCATTTTTTCTTAAAAATCAATACCTAGAAACCCAGAATGGCTTTGATTTCATTCACAGAATTCCAGACTGACTACTGCAAGGTCAGAGCCACTGCACTCCACTCCAGCAAATCCTTGAACAGAAACGTACCCAGGCTTGACAAGTCAGTATCATTAAAAAAAAACAAAAAAAAAAAAAAAAAAAAAAAAAAAAAAAAAAAAAAAAAAAAAAAAAAAAAAAAAAAAAAAAACAAAAAACAACCACACACCAAAAAAACCCAAACCTTACCTCTTTTTCTTCTGGTGATGATGGTTCAACCTTTCTACCCTTTCCTAGGTAAAGCACACTAAATTCTTCAGAGGAAAATCCTGATCCTTTACTCCAGCTGCCTGAATTTTTCCCTCTTTCTCCCCTTTGTCTCAGGTGATTTTCGTCCTGAAAAATAATCTGCAAATTAGAGAGGGTTTCTTTTCTCTTTTTAGGGAGTGGACAAGTTGGAAGGGAAAGAAAGATAAGATATGCATGTCATTTAAAGTGGGACTATCCAGACAAAAGTTGCAAGATACTATCATTATGAGCCTCTAATTTTACCTAAGGATAGAGACTAAGGAATTATTAAGGAATTTTAGTGAACTAATGGAAAGTTAAGGGACAAGTTTTGCATAGGAATTAAGATGGAAACTTAAGGTGGGAAATTTTGAGACCAGAATAGCAATCTTCTATGGTTAAAATAGAATTGAAAATTCAGAGAACACAAAGAAATAGCATAATATATGCTATCATGTAGGAAACACGACCTTAATAGAGCCACTCCATACTTAATATTTTCTAAATTCTTCTAATAGTTACTACATACTACACACAGCAAGGCAAATCAAAGAATGGCTCAGCGATATAAATTCATGTTATGAATCCGTGATAATGTTTTTTATTCGGAACATACATTTTTGCCCTGTTACATAAATAGTGCCAAGATAGTTGGCATTGTCCACATACTTTTACATGAGAATTCCAAGTTCACCAGGGACTACCACAATTATCTACGGACAATCTATGGGCTATGCAATTACCTATGTGTAACACTGTCTGCTAGGCATTCCTGCAGCAAACCCCAAAATTTATGGTCTGTCTTTTAAAACCATGAAAGAATCTGAATTTTAAAAGGGTCCTGGTGATAATTTACCCTCGCTCTAAACATTCATACCTTTGGTTATAGTTCAAAATTTGATAACTCTCTGGAAATGGGTCAAAGTATGCCACCCTGTTCTGCTACAGACAGTCTTTTATCATACATGCATCACTCAATATATATATGATCCTATTGTTCCAACACAAATAAACAAATTCATTACCTGTTTGCTGTATTCTATGTCTGTGAATGTGCTCAGTTTATCATCATCTTCAAAACCCTCACTTGTATTCTCTGCCTCAGCAATAGGGACACAAACAAATACATTGGGATTGTTAATAAAATCATCAGGACCTGAACATTTGTCCCCATTCATATCAGCCCATTCATTATTGTAATTCTCTTTACAATTTTTTATTTCTTCACACTTGAACCCAAGTGTGTTCTGTGCAGTCAATTTGATTTTCTTCCTGTGCACTTTCTTTATATGCCTGAGCTTTCTACAACAGGTATCCCACGTAACGCTCTTCACAAAGTGAAATCCCTTGTGAATCCGAGCAAAGGCAATCCGAAGATTGTTTATCTCTCCGTCATCCTCTGCTGTCTGGAGACAGTCAGTACTGAAGGAATTCAGCAGTAGTGCAATAAAAAGGTTGAGAACCTGAAAGTCATTGAAATAACAATAAAATTAAGAGTCAGGAGAGTAGCACTCAGAAATCTAAACTTTAACTTTGAAGAACACAGACACTATCAAAGTTCTGTCTTACTGAGCAAACCAAAACAAGGTAATAATGAAATGACTATGACATTGTGGTTGATGAAGTAAACGTCTTTCTCAGAAAGTTCAACGTTTCCGTGACCGTCTTCCCCCAAAAAGTTATATAAAACTGTAGCATTTTTTGGCCAAAACAACTTTTCGAAGGTTATACTAGTAACACAGACTATGGTAATACTTGTCAGTTTAATAATATCTCATCCTTCTTCAAACTAGAATTAAATCGGGCCTCTGTGGAGGAGGCCTTACTTCAAAAATCCTGTGAGATCAAATTCAGGCCTAGCAATTCCATCAAATCTGCAACGCTGTCACAAAAATCAAAATCAAGAGAAGCTTGAAGTGAGGTTTCCTCCCTGCTTTTCAGTACATTTAAATAGAAAAATTTATAAACCCCACTTTTGTTGTTGTTGTTGTTGTTGTTGTTTAAAGGGAATGGGAGACATTTTTTTTTTAATTCATATTTCAGTTGGGATGAAATCTACATATCTTCATTTTTATCACATCAGAACTGGGCAGATAGCATCCCTGAGTCATCCAGGGACCACAGCTACTGGAAAACATTAGCCCTCCAGAGACCTGTTCATCCCATCTGTCTTAGCTATTGATCTTAGGTTGGAATACATCTCACTCCCAGATACCTCTCTATTTCCTTTGATAATAAGAAAGCCTAGACAAGGAGTGTAGGCTAAGCATTTAATTGTTTGTCAGTTAACATTATGTAATATGAATATCAGTAACAGCATTTCATCACTGAAATCAGTCACTGTGGTTTAGAACAGTCAGCACTTTCAAACCAGGAATTTGGGATTCATCCACAGAACACATATTTCACATAAAAAACTGCCTAAACATAATAATTGTCAGGGGTTTTTTTGTTTGTTTGGTTGGTTGTTTTTTTAATTAAAATTGGTATATTAATAATACTGAGAATGACATAAGAAGCAAATCTACTAAAAAGATTTTTATTATTTGTTCATTAAGAAAGGACGAAACAGGACCAGGAAGGCAGACTGCCCCTTACACCCCAGCAGAGGTGTGTGAGGCTGTGTAGGGTATGTTATAAAGGATCTAGCTCTTGGGTGTAAAACTATTTAGAGTTAATTAAAGAAAATCCTGATTTCAGTGATAGAAGTGTAGATACTGCCATTTGCTCATTAAAAATTCAATACTTGAGAGAAATCTCTTTTTTTAAAAAAAAGAGTTTCTTAAAAATTTGATTTACAGATGAACTTAAGCACTTAGCTCCATTAATTCAAGCAGGTAAGCCTTACTGATTATTTACATCCAAATCCCAAAACGTGAAGAAACATAGTTGTCTGTATTATACTTGCTGCAAATATATTCTACATCACATTGCCACATGAAAAGGTCAAGTGATACTGTGTGCGAAGCACACAAAATATGAAAATATGGACAGTGGCTCAAAGGTGAAAGGCAAATGAGGCTTTTGCAGACTATAGCACACAGAGATAATTTTCCACCTGTGTTTAGGGAAACTACCTTTTGTTGACGAAATGGCAATTAAGTAGAATCTACCATACACAGGCTGAAAAGTAGAAAAGATTGGAAAACTCACCACTAAATTTCCTATCACCATGACCAGCAGAAAGACAAGAAGGCACAGTGGTTGTTCAGCAACCACCATGCAGTCCCACATGGTCTCAATCCATTCTCCACACAGAATGCGGAAAATGACGAGGAATGAGTGGAAGAAGTCCATCATGTGCCAGCGTGGCTCGCCATTTTTGTTTATTTTATGGCTGTTCTCCCCATAGCTTCTCCCAAAAAGTTGCACCCCTACTATAGCAAAAATGAAAATGATAATTGCCAGGACGAAGGTCAGATTGCTCAGTGCTCCCAGGGAGTTAACAATTATTTTAATTAGAGTGTTTAAAGTTGGCCAGGACTTTGCCAGTTTGAAGACTCTCAGCTGAAACATAAAACATAGTAGACATCTGTAGAAATAACTCATCTTTGCACTATTCAAATCCTGCAAAAAAACATTTTATAGATATTCTAATCTATTCCAGTGATATATTATTTGAGGCACTGTGATACTAATACTTTTTAAAAAAGTATTTATAGCTATATTTTAAATTGTTTTTAACTGGGGAATGTTGCAAACATAAACTAACCACCTTGTAAAGGACCGTGCTAACTTGAGTCACTGTTAAGTGTTTGGCCCACACAGGCAAGTATCCATCCAAGGCATTTGATGCAGATCGTGGTGGGTAACTTACATGTAACACAACGGACCAAAGCTGGGATACTGGCTGCTGTATTACTATAAAAGAAGTCTATCTTTTGGTAAAGCAACCTAAATCAGTCCACGGTATATGATATGAATACCTTAACATCATTTCACTTCTACTTTTAAGTATTTTTTCTATATTTGTACACTGACATTTTTTTCCTAATTTCCGGTGCTAAATTTAAATTTTTGACACCAGTTTTATAACATGTCTCCTCTCTAACATTTTTTCCCTTGAATATTTCTTATTATATTCAAAACAAATATAAATGTCATTAAACTCTGACTAACAGCACAAGGAGTTTATGAGTGTGTTTCTTATTCCTAGTGCCAAGAGGAGAAAAAATAAATTAAAAAAAAAAATTTCCTGCATGCTAACTGCAGACAACAGAAGTGTTATTCTATTCGCAATATAAAGTTTTACACAACTGAGTAAGCGAGTAGCATTACCAGTCTGAAGGATCGTAAAACTGACAGGGATCCTCCTTTTCGCCTTTCTTTCTTGCCTCTGTGCTTGGGTAAACTCAGTTCAATTAAACTCAATGTGACAATTATACAGTCAAAAATATTCCAGTGCTGCTGGAAATAATAATAGGGGTCTAGAGCGATGATTTTTAAGATCATTTCTGCAGTGAAGATTCCTGTAAAAACCTGTGACAAAGAAACAGTATCATCAGCCTAAAAGTAGCCATGAATCTATCTTATCTTTAGATTATGTTCCTTCAAATAACATTCATGTCTAGGTCAACAGAACCCATTTTTACAAACTTCTAATGCACTTTCTATTAAAATGGGAGGATCGTTTCCTGCATTTACAGGAGTGCATTGAAGTGTATGAATAAAATCTGAGAATTATCTATATCAGAAATTTAGGGTTTATAAATGCAGAGTTTGCTAATCTTTCATTTTTGCAGTTACTCTTTATGTCTCAAGTGAAAACACTCATCAATCAATCTTTGGTATAAAATGTCACATAGCTGAGAATTTGCTTACCAAGTTGCCTACATGAAGCATTGATTTAAAATTATCTGACATATTATTGTGCTCCAGTGCCATGAATAAAGTGTTCATCACAATGCAAACAGTGATGGTGAGATCAATAAAAGGATCCTTTATGAAAGTAGCCACTTTTTTCTTGATTCTCAACCAAAGTGGACAACAGTCCCAAATTAGGTACTTTAAAGCAAAATCATTCAGGCACGGCGGGCATCTCCGCTGAGATTCTTCAAGTTCTAAATGCAAAAGAAAAACCCCACTAGAATTAAATAGTTATCACTGAGTAAAGATGGTGAAATAACAATTTCAAGTATTCAAAAACCAAAGAAAAAGGAAACCTCATACCTGGCATAGAGCCCCAAAACTTCCCTGCACTTTCTATTGTCCATGTTTTCCCTACACCAGCTAGTAAACATGAAGATAAAATCCAGAGCAAAATGGAAAATGCATTCATGTGAACTTCAAAAGCCTTTGGATCAGGTTTTATTTGTCTTAGACTCAGATCTGTACTACAATCATCTGACTAAATACAGTTGTTTACAATGCAGAGGCCACATCACAGCTTCTCAGACTCTTGCAGGTTAATATAGCAGCTAAGGCACTCTTCACTTTATCCTTACTTAGAACTCTAGGACAGTGGCTGTATCACACTCAACATCTTTTTGTCTTCTTTGACTCTTAAAGGGAGTTTAGAGAGTCAGTGGCAGTCATAGAAGTTCTGATTGTACGCAAGGAAAATCCAAACTACGGTGCCTCGAATTTAACCTTAAACCACTTCTACTGGAAAGGTCATGCCTGACATTTCCCATCTGATGCAAATTGCCACACCTCTCCATTTTCTGTGAGTAAAACATAGGATAGAAGCTGTTCTGACTTTGCCATTTACATCTTTTTGGATTCTTCACCACAATACTATGAAGTCCTCCAAAATGTTTTTGACCCTGTTGAAGTTCTGTGCAAATTCATTGGCAAACTGGAGTTTACTTAAACCTTAATACAAGCACAACAGGAATTATTAATAATCTGACTTTCAGGGATCTGAATTTTTTTCAGAGATCACATGAGCTCAATCTGACTAATATCCTTTTCTTAGTTGGACCTGACTTTATTTCTTCACACTGTTTAGTTTTAATTTTTATCCTCCAGTCTCAAGTCTCAAGATTCCACCCAACACTGCTTATTCCAGTGTGATCACCTTGATTTAACCCTACTCCAGATCTAACTCTTCTTCTGTTCTAGATCAAATGGCTGCTTCTTCATTTATACAGAGTGGGTCTGGCAGAACTGGTGTTCAGAACCCAGCAAAGACCCTTTTTGATGCCTGTCCTCAAGTTAATCCACAGCCACTTAGAGCTACAAGTCCTGTTTCTTTCTACCTCACAGCTGAATGCATGCAACAAAATCCAGATCTTTGGTGAATTACACTGCAAAGCAAATCTCCACTAAGTGTGTTGCAACCATGATTCTCCCAAGCAAAATTTTAGAAAATTTAAGAAAAGGGTCCTCCCTCCACAATGGTAACACTTTGCTAAATCCAATACTTGTGGTCCAAGAACTGGTGATAGATTTCCTCAATGGGGACAAAACAAAATAAGATATCATCCTGAAGAAATTGGGTTGAAAGTTTTCAGTATGATCTGCAACAAAAATATCAGTTATATAAATCTCAGTGATAAAACCACCCAAAAAATCACATGGAAAGGTAAGTTAGAGGAATAAAATAGTGAGGTTAAGTATTCAAAACCCCAGAAATTGTCACAACTGATTTTGCTTGCATAATCTTATTGATGGATTCTGCATGCCTACATCTCTGACAGTGACATATCAAAACTCTCAGGGTCAGGAAGAGAAAACAGTATTCCAGTCTGGCACCTCAGATGCTAGGGAAACTCGTTTCACCCACTCTCATCACTCCAATCCCATTCACTCTCTGTCCTACAAAATGAGATCTTACGACATGCAAAGGTTGCATTCCAGTACCTAAAAACTGTGATAATGTTTTGGGGTTTTTTGTATTGGTTGGTTTTGTTTTTTAAAGAGCCAAATTAATAAAGGAATTTCTGCCTACACATCTATAAATCTCTGCTAACCTTTAAGAAATGTATTGACATTTTGGTCATTCATGCTAACATTACCTTAGGATTGAAATAGGTGTAATGAGAGACCACTTACCCTCCAAAACACTGGTAATTATGCTGACTGCACTTGCTGCCCTTTGTCTCTGAAGTGCCTCATTAAAATACTCCACTGACAGATGAGGAGGCAAATGCATCAAGCTGCTCTCATCATTTATAGCTGGCTGCTTAAAGAAGTAAACATGATTAGGGAGATACCACAGGAATAAAATAAAATGGAATGTGATGAGGGGTAACAATGAAAGTTAATAAGAACAGTGATATGCAGCCAAATAGATGTACCTTTTTACAAGTTGTAATAGTTGTTGAGCATGAAGGTCTTACTGTTCCATAATAATGCTGCAGTAAATGGTTCTTGCAAGCATGTAATAGCAAAAGGGCAAGCACAAACCTTGAAAATAAGAGTATGAGGGGAAATAGGCCTAGGAAATATTCCAGAGACTAATAGGAAAGGACAGAGATGAGGGATAAACTGGTAGCAAAGCATCTCTACCCACTTGGGAAATTTACAGAAAAAGCTTCTTCGTGATGCTAAAGGTGCTATGAAGGAGGAAGAAATTGCAAGTACTGCTGAAAATGACCCCCCTGGACAGGGTTAAAAAGGGATCAAAAGACTCTTTGGTAACTTTTAATTCCAGCGCTAGGAACCTTCAAAACTATGTTAGTAAAATTCGTGAATAGCAGAAAAATAGGGTTTATGACAGGAATGCTGAAGTCTAGTTTTCAGGAACTCATCAGAGTACTAAAAAAAAATTTCTACTGACAACTTATGAATTCTCCACACCATTATGCTTCATTTCTTGTCACTGTTTGACATTACACTGAAACTCTTAAGATAAGAAAAACCTGCCACTTATAGAGAAATTGTAAGATGAAGTACGTATTTAAAATAATATCTTTTTCTTACCAGACCACCCTTTCCCAGGTCTTCCATCACCGGTGGAAGCAGTACTCCTTCAGAAGACACCGGATCTAGACTGTGCACCCTGTTGCTTCCTCCTCCCATCACTGAAATCACACCATTGCAGTCATCCACATTAGCCCACTTGCTGCTCTGCACGCAGTTTGGGGTAGCAGGATGAGAGCTGTGGCTCATTTGACTTTGCATGCTGGAGCGTCTTCCCATATGGGTGACTGACAGTGACCGACACTGGATTTCATGTTCCCCAGCACTGAGAGTTTCCTCATCACTGAAATTGGTTCTGGAATCAACTTCTAAAGCAGGTATTTGGGAACTGAAAACACTCCCATAACTAAGTCTGTGTTTCGCCTGATTTGCGTTGGGACCATACACCAGGCCAAGGAAAGACTAAAAGTCCAGGAAAAGGAATAAAGAGAGAATGGCATAATATCACAGAGCAAATTTTGAGAAGAAATAAATGTTTAGAGTTTCATAACATTTCCTATCAACAATTGCAAGTCCAAAACTCATATTTGATTTAGATTTTTCAGGAAGGATTATGTTTAGATTTTAAAAGGCGGATAATAAGATCCCATCAACTGTAGCATCTATTTTTGTGATAAGCTTTATATTTATATCTTAAGTAAGAAATTTTTATCAGAGAATGATGCACAGAAGTTAAATTCTGGTAGTCATACACTTTTTTCTATTTCTCAATGTTATAGAAAATGTATTTTAACTGTTATAACTTTCCTTCCATTCTTTATTTATATTTCCTTTTCAAATTAATTTTTACATATAATTCTTCCTTATCTCAAAAGTTTATTTTAAAGACTTAAGAGTGATCAGTGTTTGTAATGGGAATTCATTTGTGCTTTCAAGCAATTTATTTTAGTATTAAAACTGAGAAAGTTGTAATGATCGCAGATTCAGACAATAGATTACCAACTTTCGTTGACTGTCTGTGGACTGTGACTTGGGAAATTGTTCTTCTTCATTATCTTCTATCCCCAAGGACTTATTTCTCTTTTTCCTATTGCTTCTTTCCTTGATTTCTTTGGTAGACAGAGAAGAGGCTTCAAAGGAGCTAACTGACAGGATATCAATTCCTTTAATAGCCAATGACTGAAATTGAAACAAAAACATGGAGGATAATTTTGCTGGGTACTTTGAATATAAGCAGAAAGAAGACACCTCTGTGCTCTGTATTATTTCCTCTTAACAATTTGTGTTTCACAAAACTCGTTAAAAGTCTTCCAATATGTGATAATACTAAAAGAAAGAGGAGAGAATTTCCCCAACATATGGAGTGCTGAACAATTTTCTATTTGCAGAATCTTACATGGTCACATGTATTGGGCCTGCCAGGGGCAAAATAATCACATTATAACTCCTATTCCTCCATATGGCAGATTTGCTTACAATAAAAATACTTAGTGTGAAAATAATGCTGTAGAATATATCCTTTTCCCCAAACAAATGCTTAAAGAGTATTAAAATTCTGTCTTTTCACTGGGGATCCTTGGGATTGTATTCACACTGTAGCTGACTTTCCATCCCATACTGCATTTAGGACAATGTTTTCAAAACAGGGGATTATTTTGTTCCAGAGGCCTATAAGCTGTTTAAGCTATCAAGAGACTTTTCATTCAACTATAGTATATTTTGGCTCAGGTGTTCATGCAGTTGATCAACAGAATTACTGTATATTTCTCTGCTCAGCAGCCCACAATGATGAAGTAGAAAAAAAATTAAAAGGAAACCATATTTTATTTTGGAAGCTGCTCCTGTAGCTCTAGGAATGGAATTGCTACTTTCAGTAAGTTGTCACTTGCTCCTTCTCCCATGAGTGACTACTATATACAGCTGTACACAAGGAATTTTTTTCTTATGTGACTGACAACAGAACACTGAGACTAATGCTTGCAAGGGAATAATTCACACACCTCCTGCTCCTTCTGTAATAATTCCATGGCTTCCCGAAATTTTCTTTCCTTTGCCTCTGTTTCAGCAATGGTGGCCTTGTTCTGGTCTTCATATGCCATTGTTACTACAGCCAGAATCAAGTTGACTAGATAAAATGAGCCCAGAAAGATGACCAGCATGAAGAAGAGTACATACACCTTCCCAGAAGCTCTGAGGGTCTGTAAGCAACACATCCAAGAGATAAAAATCACCATAAAAATGCCAAATAAGCTTTCAATGTGTCTCAGAAATTCTTTAGAAGCACTCACCTTCCTAGACACAATGGTTTAGGAAGCTTAAAAGGAAATACACTTTCCTTGGCCTTTCTTCCTTCCCTTTCTCACTCATACCGTTGCCTGTGAATCACTGATCATATAACCCATGAGGACAACTGAGGATGCATTATATTTTTGAAGGATAATATAGGACCTTCTTAGGACTTTTTTTTATGTCCTTAAGTAAGCAGGGTGATAGGACTGTTGCTGGGAAGCACTTCAGCATCCCTTTTCTAGGAATCACAGCTTGCGGGAAGGGAGAAGGGATGATGTGGGCTTGATGACTTGCAGCTAATGCTTTGGTTTGAGGTTTCTTGTCCTCCCTACACATTTTCTGCTTCAGCTATTGCTCTCACTGGAAGACCAGTTCTGAATTATGCATAAAGCTGGTACCTGCTGGTACAGACGTTCCCAGTAGTCCTGGGTCATCAGACGGAATAAGGAAAGAAAAGCCCAGCCAAATGTATCAAAACTAGTGAAATCGTAATCAGGATTTGGCCCAAGTTGCAAGCATATGTAGTCTGGAGGACAGGTCCTAGAAGTAATAATAAAAAGTGGAGCTCTTTAACTGTGCAGTTTTCAAGGATAAACTCCAGCTTATGTGAGAATTCTGATTACTATTCAGCTCTGTATTTCATTAGATTACAAACCAATTTTCTATGCCAGGTAGCATTGGCTGGAAAGTGGGATGAGAAAAACAGCACCCACAACACAGTAACAAAGGAAGACAATGAGTTGGAGTAGACTACCAATGCAGGACAACTTCCTCACCACCAATCCTCCTCCCCTGCCCTTCACTACAAAGCAGCCACACCTCCCTCCTTGCCCAAACCTGCCCTCCAAAATCCATGTTTTGTTCTTCCAAATTAACCCTCATGAGCTTACACAAATAGGAGCATGTCTGTTCTGTCATTTATTTGAGATCTTTCATGTTTTCAGCTCTCTTGTACATCCATGGGGAAGAGAAAGACAACACTTCTGGGAAGGCTCAATAAGCCAATTGCAGGTTCACACTTCATTCCTTACAAGTATTAAATTATCTGACTGTTTACTATATTTTGTTCTTGTTTTACTATGTTTTGTCTGTGTTCCTGTTTATGTATTCAAGGAAAGCTTAGAATTTCTGGTTTTGTCTCATATCACTGAGCAAATACAGAAGCACTAAGGCAGAGAAGACTTCCAAAGAAGAAATATTCTTAAGTGCACTTACCCAGCACCAGGACCACACAGCAAAATATCTGAGGTCCCACTTTTCTTAGCAAAGTATGCTATAAAAAAGGGGGGAAAAAAATTAAAACCGAATAACTTCTAGCCTGAATCCTCAATCCTTTAATATGAGTAGTGATGAGTAATCAGTGACCTGTAAGTGTATGTGCATACATATATACGTGTTTCCCGCGCTCACAATAACTGCATCAGATTGCAAGATGGCCTTTCCTCATTTATAAACATACATATGTGTATGCATAAATTTCAGAGTGAAGACACTCCTTAAAACTGAATTTTTTAAAATATTATTGCTTTGGCCACATCTGCATAACGGAAGTGAAGAATTGGAGGGCACATGTTCAAGCACAGTCCCTGGTTTGGTAATCATTAGCACAAACTCTGTCACAGTTTTGACTTGTAGTAATCAGCCCTCTTCAGGGCAGCATACAAACACCTTTTGGGGTAGCACAGAGCAGTTCTGTTTCCAACAAGAAATAAAAAACAAAACCCTATTTTGAGGAGGAAGAAAGAGTGTTTGGCTGTGTGGATATACACCACGCCATGTAGCGGCTCTGCTGAGCCAAACAGCAGGTCCTAACCCTGCTTAGTTGAGAAATATGGATTTGTCCATTAGGATGTTGGAGCTGTGGCCTTTTTGACCTCTTCCCCTATTTCTCTTAGCATGAGTTACTCTGATGCCTGAGCTAGCAGCAGGCTTGAAAATAACAGCTTTAGTACTAAGAGCTAATTAGTTCCATTAAGATGTGGGATTATTATCCCAGGTGAAAGGGATGTCTCATGTCTTCCTGGTGCTTCTCTAACCTCAGCTGTGCTCATCAGAGAAGTCAGCATGATGCAGGGCCAGTAGGAATCTTCAGTATCAGTTGTAAATACACCATGAAATGTGTAAATACATTTTACATTTAAATACACCACAGGAAATGTGTTACTATCAGGGCTACTTTCCACCCAAATTTTGTTCAGGTCTGCTCCTGCCAACTGACAAAAAGGGTTTTTTAAGAAGATTTAGTGATTGAGCCTCAGAGAATTATAGTAACATGTAGTTCTCCATGTTAGAGATGGGAATTTCCCACAAAAGCAGCCCATAAAAAACCATACAAAAAATAACTTACTAGAAAATTGGGCTTATAGTGCTATAAATCCTAAATCCTACAGGAAAGTCATCTATCTTTCTTTAAACCTGTCTGAACCCTCCTACTGCTTTTCCTGACATTGCAAATCACCCTTCACATTAGATGTATGGCATAGGATGTGAACAAGACAAAGCTTGTGAAGCAACACATATTTTTAAAATCTAGAACCCCACTTTCTCCAGGCCATTGCCTTTATACAGCTACAGTGTTCTGCATTAAAAAAAACCAACCAAACAAACAAAAAAAAACCCCAACAACCAAACACCAAAACCCGAAGATGGTTTTGTTTCCTGTTTCTTCAGCACAGAAAATAAGTATTTTTAACCCAATTTTGTCACAGCCAGGTCTCTTGTGTGGTGTTCTAGTCACTGCCTGTTTTTTTTAAAGTTTGCTTTCAGTTATGATTTTTACAACATTCTGTATATGTAAATGACTTTGTTCTTATGTGTGGTTTTTTGGTAGGTACAAGAGTTTCTTGCAAAAAGTTTTTTCTCAAAAATCTTGTATACAAAGACTTTCTCCCCCTGGACTATGAAGTTATTAAAGAAATCCTGTCAGAACAAACCTTCCATGCAGAGTTTACAAACAGCAATCCTGTGCAGCTTTTTTATGTATTTCAACATTTCCCGTGGGACAATGCTTTTCTTCCTGTATAGCTGCTGCTACATCTGAACTCACTGGTGGAGATTTTCTCCAGTGATTAAGCTTTCTTCATGTTTCTGGCATAGACAGTTTACTCTGAGTGTATTTTTTCATGATATTGAGTCTTTTCCTTTAGACAAGCCTTTTCCTTTCGACAAGGCTTTTCCTTTCTGAATTGTACCTTACAGCTGCTGTTCCTCTGAGAACGCTTTGGTGCATTTTGAGAACTCTGGTCTATGCTTTCATCACTAGCCTCAGTCAAGACATATACATGAAAGATGTATGTTGTATATATCTTATACATGACATAAAGTAAGATACACATGATGTGAAAAAGAGAGTAACTTCAACTTTTAAACAAAACCCTCTGTTCCAAGCTGAAGAGTAATTTACTGGGCAGCAAAACAAAGATGTAGAGACTTTTCAGCATGTAGTAAAAGGTGAACTTTGGGAAATTACAGCAGAGAATGAGCTAATGCATATTTAATTTATAGAATGTTCTTCATTTATAGTCATATCATCCTGGGAAACAGAGCTGGATGTTAATGGAAAATTTGGGAGTGCTATTTCTTATAATGAAGGGAAGGGATACATTACTGGATGCCTGCAAGCTGCTGTGGCCATCTGAAAGCCACTATCAAGTAGTTACTCATCAAAATATCAATCATCAAAACATCAATGTCATTTACATCAGTGGTTATACATGTATGCATAGGTGTCTGTCCTATCATCTGAAAAAGAATTAAGGAGAAAAATTACCTGTATAATTAGCAAACATTTCATAAGATTCCCATGTTTTGTTAAGAAAATAAAGTGTTTTACTGATCTCTGTAGTATTCCTGATACACTTATATCTTAGATTGCCCTTGAAAAGCTGGAGGCCTATAAGGGCAAAGACACTCAGGCAGAAAACGGTCAGGATCATCACATTGGCAAGTTTCTTAACAGACTGGATTAGTGCCCCTACAATGATCTTGAGTCCTAGGAAGACAAAGGAAAATGGGATGAAAAACTGAGATTCATATGTCATACTTGATTAGAGTTAAAACAATGTATAACAGCCAAAGTACCAAAATTGCTGGATAATATGTGACAAATATATTTGCAATGCAAGTATAATTGGATGAGAGTAATTAATATGAGAATAACATATTTTTTCCTCATTTGATTGACCCTACAATTTTCAGATGTTCTCTTAATCCCTGTAAAATATTTAGGGAAGGGTGAGGAACCAGAGATAGTCTATTTTTTCTTATGCAGAAAGAGTAATATGCATAATTCAAAGACATTTCCAACACTGGTAATCTGTGAACAAACTGGAAACACTGGAAGCAATAAAGAATATGATCAAAAAGACCAAAATGAGAAGACAGAGGCAACCCATTGGTTCTTAATTTATATTTCATCATGAGAAAGAATGCAGTAGCTTTATAACTAAGGGAAAAATGGAAACTGTTTTCCCGGGGATAATGTAAGATGATTAATAGTAAAGTCTGTTCAGTCACCAGAGCTGTTTCTGTTGAGCCATAACACATAGACCAGCTAGAAGAATATTCTGTAAAACTGGCATTATAAAGTGTTAACAAAATCTTTAAAAGTATAATGAAAATAAATTAAATACAAGATTGTTTCTAATGTTTGATTTATTCTGTTTGGGCCAGGTGAACTGAGACACTATAAAAAAAAAAAAAAAAAAAAAAAAAAAAAAAAAAAAGGCAAAAGCCAACATTTTGATTGGAGCAAAGAGTCAGTTGTAAGTAGCAGAAAACATTAACAAATAGGATTTTTTTTTACCTGGGACTACTGAAATGGTTTTTAAAGCTCTCAGAACCCTGAAAGTCCGAAGAACAGACACACTTCCCAAATTACTAAATGCTCCCACATACCTGTAAAGTCAGAATGTGAGGTCAAACAGTTGAACAAACAGGGCAATTATTTTACAGTGGTTATTCTTAACTACCAATCCCTCTGAGCATACTTTAAATATTAATAAACTACATATCAAGAATTTGTCAAAAAACTTGTAAAATAGAAACACAATTCTTGATTATTAAAATTTCCTTATGAGGTAGATAGCTCTTGACTTGTGCACAGCTGGTTTTGTGTCAGCATCTTAAAATATTATGCATTTAAAATGTAAACAAAGATAACAACAATATTAATTTCAGGCCGAAATGCTGACTGAACTGGTTTGACCTCCCTTTTGTACCTGCACCTAACCAGTATAAAAGCTTTCTAATTACTGCAAACGGAATCTCAAACTAGGATTTTTGGAGAAAAAGAGCCAAAATCTAGTATGCTGTTCTGGTGTCTATACATTTTCAAACGTACACTTTCATCCACTGGATCAGTATGGTTGCATTTGACAGCTCAGCTTTTACATATCATTGTCTGAAATGCATCCGTTCACATACATTCACAACAGAGTATATCTTGCTCTGCACAGCTCTATTCCCTTCCTGAAAGACTAATACGTTGTTCTCGTACAGTGAATGATAAAACAAGGGGTAAAGTCAATGTTCTAAATAGTTTCAGAAGCAATTGGAACCCACAGGGTTGGGTTCCTTTACTGTAGACAGCCTTTTGCACCACAGCAACAAGAACTTCAAATACAGAGTGTGAACGCAGGTGATCCATATTTTATATGTTCCCACTTACGCCATAACAATAACACTGAAATCCAACCAGTTCCAGGGATCTCGAAGGAAAGTGAATTCATTTAGACAGAATCCTCTTGCCAATATTTTTATCAATGATTCAAAAGTGTAAATGCCAGTGAAAGTAAATCTAAGGAAGGGAGAAAAGTGCCAAAGGAAAACAGCAATATTAGCAATTAACAGAAGAGACACTGTCAGACTACTGTCTAGGCCAAAAAAACAAGCCAATGCTGCACAGAAGTAATGGAAAGACTGCTGATGATTTCAGTATATTCTGTCAGTATCTGATTTATATGGAGTTTGAGACATTAGTTGACTGCAATCTGGACGTGGCTATTGATGTGTATGCCTCTGACATGATTTTCTGGCATTCAACAATTTTTTCCAAATTCTTTTATGTGAGTCCATGTAATTTGAGAAACACAAAGCTCCTAGCTACTTGCTAAAATAAAGATCAAAATTTGTATCTTCCTCAGGTTTCAAGTGGCCAACTGAACATGTGATATACTGTGCATTATTTACTTTGGGAATACAGCATCCATTTCTGGGCAGAATGTTTAAAACACTTAGCGAAATTAAAAAAGTACCGGATTTTCAATTAAGATGGCAATTATTCTTATTAATGGAAAATTATCAGTAAAAGCTCTTCTGGACTTACTGAGTGCACTTATCATTTCAACAAGGCAGTGATCTCCCTACAGAATTCAAAAGGCATTCATTTGGTAGTCAGCAAATGCACTAAGAAATTATGTGGATATAGTTAGTGCTTCCTTTTTCATTTGGAAAGAGGTATTCTGAAACTATTATTGAAATGCGTTTGAACAGGAGTCTTGATGCCAACAGGAGATACAACTCTTACCTAACCTTTAATGCTCTTATAGGTAGAGAAGTAACTCAACTTCTTCTGAAGAAATGTATATAAATACCATGCAGAGTCCTGTTTCTACTTGCATGAGGATTTGCCATTTCCAAAGGTTTCAGTGTCATGTAATATGATGTCCTGTTTTGGCTGGGCTAGAGTTAATTTTCTTCCTAGTATCCGATACAGTGCTGTGCGGTGGATTTAGTGTGAGAACAATGCCGATAACACACTGATGTCTTACTTGTTGCTAAGTAGCATTTATCCTAAGTAAAGGAGTTTTCAGTTTCCCATGCTCTGCCAGTGAGGAGGTGCACAAGAAGCTGGGAGGGACCATGGCCAGGACAGCCAAAGGAATATTCTATACCATAGGACATCATGCTTGGTACAAAAACTAGTGTGACTTGTCGGGTGATGCCAATCGCTGCTGGGGGACTGGTTAGACAGAATCAGTCAGCAGGTGGTGAGCAATTACATTGTGCATCACTTATCTTCCTTGAGTTTTATTTCTCTCTTTTTTTGGTTATATTAATTTAATTACAATTATTATTGTTGTTATTACTATTATTATATTTTAATTTCAATTATTAAAATGTTCTTATCTCAATCCACAAGTTTTACTTTTTTTTCTGATTCTTCTCCCCATGCCACTTGGAGGGGGGAGGAGTGAGCAAGCGGCTGCTTGGTACTCAGTTGACTGCTGGGGTCAAACCATAACACATAAGATAGTAAGAAACAATTTTAGACCTGCTTTTAAAACTAAGTATTTTGGAAAGTTTTTCTTTGCGTTAGAATTATCAGGGTTTGTATTCTAACATTCTTATCCTAAACTGAAAAACTGAGAGCTGAAATATTCTTAAAAAAAAAATTTAAAATCCCACAAAAAACATGGGATTATGCATCTTAAGTGTGACTACAAAGGCATGGATTTATTGTGATTTAACACTGCAAGTGTTGGCAACACTGAAGATATGAGCTTTACTTTCTAACAGCATCCTGCAGGCCAGGAGCTTCTGACAAAACATTTTATTAGAGCAAAACTCAGCGTTTCAATATTATTAGAAAGAATTTTAGAAGACAGCAGTTCTTGATGTGTTTCTTCAGCATCAGCAACAGTGAGAAATGTGTCTGGATAAAGAATAAATAATTACTGAATAACTTCAGAAAGTGGGATAACAAACTTGAGCAGTATGACAGACATGAAGCTAATTCAACAGCAGAACTTAATCTCCACTTTGTTTCTCCTACACCACCACAATTACTGTAGATGTTGAGTTTAAAGACAGAAATAGACCCTCAAAACAAAATGACAAATTCCTAACACAAGCAACTTTCCTTCTAAATCCTCCATAAATTATCTTGAGTGAAGGCAGCAAGATAAATCTCAACAATTCAATATAACTACAGAATTAAAAACTGTACATAGCCACAGATACTTACTCAATGTACTTGTTCCATGAAGGTGATGAAGAAGTCTTAGAGGACTCAGCCAGAGCCATGAATACACAATTAGTTATAATAGTGCAAATGATAAATAAAGTAAATAATGTAAGTCACAGGAGTGAAGGCAAAGAATATGACATTGATTCAGAAATGTAACTATATATTTTATCAGTCATAGATATAGTATCTGGTTTTGAGCAATGGTGTTACTGTTCTGGTCTCATTCCCCAGTGCCAAACTGGAGCAATATGCTAGTGATTCGCGTCCCCTAATGTTTGATGTTTGAGGTGAGATCTATATTACCTTTATATTCCAAAGACATTCCCTGTAGTGGGATCTCTGGAAATCTTCACTTTCCTATATCAAAGATACATTATTTTAATCTGATTTTCTAAAGAAACTAAGTTTGCATCATTTTACTTTCTGTTTTCATATGCATGCTTGCCTATTGCAGCCTTGTTTTTCTTAAAACGGGCCAATGTTTGATCAGCTTTGGTACATGAGTTGGATGTAATTCCTACAATCTGGGTAAACAGAAGATGAATAAGATGATAGAAAGCCTAGTAGTCTTCTCACTGAGAAAGGTTTCAGCATGAGATATTTATGAGACATCAGGAAATCAACATCAGAGAGCATTCTCAAAACACAAAGCTGTAGAAAATCAGGCTTCAATACCCCTAGTACTCATAAAACAATTTATTTCAAAGTAGCACAAGAGCACCAAGAGAGTAATAATTTCATAATTAGAAGTACTCTAGAGTGAAGAAAAGTCTAGATTCATTCAATGCTTGAAAATACAAAAGCACAGGATTATGTAGGGTTTTTTAATCAAAAAGAGCAAATTAAGCCAACAAAAGGATATGAATGTACTAAAATTTTAATTGCTGTTCTTCGGATTGGATGGAAAGGACTGAGGATCCATAAGGCACGTGTAGCAGTAAACCTGAAGATTGTTTTCTGTTTGTTTAGCACTATGAAAACCTTTTTTTAAAAAAAAAAAAAAAAAAAAAAAAAAAAAAAAAAAAAAAAAAAAAAAAAAGAAACATGAAGTAAACTTTTCAGAAAGTTGAACAGAGAACATATTTTTGTGGTGTATCCTGTTGAATCAGTGATGAGCAAGAGCTTGATTTTAATTTAGTCTGCTTGTTTAAATGAGAAAACCTTTCGTAATTTTTGTTAACCTTTCATCATAAACTGATGAGTTAATATCCATTAACTGTCAAGCTGCAAAAACCCTCAGCATGAACTAACCTTACTTATGACTATTCTCTTAAAATAAACTGAATCTCTCATTGTGTCAAGATATACAGAAGTGGAAGGAAGACTTGCAGCTTTTATCATTGTTTGCTGTTGCTGACTGTGATCCTCTAGCTCTAATTCTGTAGAAATTAGTTGAAAGTATTAAATATTTCTCAAGCAATAAGCATAATCTCCAATGGATTAATTACCATTTTTCTGTTCTGTATTCAAAATCATATTCTTCAATACTAGAATATGGAGTTTGAATAAGTAGGTTTTAAGGATTTATCAACTAATATTTTAACATAATTTTTATACTTAGGTGATCATTTGTTGTACGCATAAGTAGAGTGTAAGCATTGAGATAGAGAGGAACACATTGTTTCAAACCATGGAGTTTAAGAAAATTTACAAAATTATTATCATTTCTGGCAGATCAGACTCAAAAAACCCTTTTCTTCCTTTATCCATCCTATCTTTTCTGCTTCCATTCTGATTCAAATGTTAATCAAGTTCATATAATTTAATTCATATAATTCAAAATTAAGCTTTTTTTAAGAAGATTAGAGCATGTCATTCTGCTGTGCCAACTGCCTGCAATATTATAACCTTGAAAGGGACGTTAGTTTTTCCAAAGGGATCTAAGCAAAACTGTTTAATAGATCATTCACATAAACACTTCTTAGCAACACAATACAACAAATTAAAATCCAAGCATCTTGGTTGGCTCTAACCTTACGATCTTTGTAGTATGGGTCGAGATCCTCCAGTGGTTCCCCAATGAGCTCTGGAGGAGGACTTCCATAGAGAGCTGGTAACTTCTGGAAAGCTTTTAGGTCAAGCTGAGGACGTGGTTTCTCCTCAGGTTTCTGGTCTATAGTAGTTCTTCGACAATCCCTCTTGGCAGCAATTCTCTTTTCGATAGCAACCAAGGATTCATAAGTGAACTTACGGAAGTTGTTGGTACCAAGTAGTAAGAAATCAGCCATTTTTCATTCTTCTCTTCCTGCCACTAATTCTGTCCAAATAATAGAAACAAGTAGCAAGGAAGTCAAGTAACTCCAAAACAGGTAAGTTAGGAAAATGAAACAACTGGCTGACCATGCATGTCTCATAAGGTAAACTTTCTGAGTCATCAACATCAAAAAAAGAAGAAAAAAAAAAAAAAAGCTATGACCAATACCTTCTTCAGTAAGATGTCTGTTCGGTATTTTTTTAAAATTATGTGTATTTGAGAGGATGTGGGCAGATGTGGCCAACCATAGGAGTTTCCATAAGGCCAAATGCCGGGGGCTGCCCTTGGGCCACAACAACCCCCAGCAGCGCTACAGGCTTGGGGAGGAGTGGCTGGAGAGCTGCCAGTCAGAGAGGGACCTGGGGGTGCTGATTGACAGCCGGCTGAACAGGAGCCAGCAGTGTGCCCAGGGGGCCAAGAAGGCCAATGGCATCCTGGCTTGTGTCAGCAATAGCGTGGCCAGCAGGGACAGGGAAGGGATCTGACCCCTGTACTCGGCACTGGTGAGGCCGCCCCTCGATTCCTGTGTTCAGTTTTGGGCCCCTCACTACAAAAAGGACATTGAATGACTCGAGCGTGTCCAGAGAAGGGCAACGAAGCTGGTGCAGGGTCTGGAGCACAGGTCGTACGGGGAGCGGCTGAGGGAACTGGGGGTGTTTAGTCTGGAGAAGAGGAGGCTGAGGGGAGACCTCATCGCCCTCTACAGCTCCCTGAAAGGAGGTTGCAGAGAGTTGGGGATGAGTCTCTTGAACCAACTAACAAGTGATAGGACAAGAGGGAATGGCCTCAAGTTGCACCAGGGAAGGTTTAGACTAGATATTAGGAAGCATTTCTTTCCAGGAGGGGTTGTTAGGTGTTGGAATGGGCTGCCCAGGGCAGTAGTGGAGTCCCCATCCCTGGAGGTGTTTAGGAGTAGAGTTGGCATAACACTTAGGGACGTGGTGTAGTTGGGAACTGTCAGTGTTTGATTAATGGTTGGACTGGATGATCTTCAAGGTCTTTTCCAACCTAGATGATTCTGTGATTCTGTGATGTCCTGGTTTTGGCTAAGATAGAGTTAACCTTCTTCCTAGTAGCTGGTACAGTGCTCTGTTTTTGATTTAGTGTGAGAACAATGCTGATAACACACTGATGTTTCAGTTGTTGCTAAGCAGCATTTATCTGAAGTTAAGGACTTTACTGTTTCCCATGCTCTGCCAGGGAGCTGGTGCACAATAACTGGGAGGGAACACGGCCAGAAGAGCTGACCCGAACTAGCCAAAAGGATATTCCATACCACAGAATGTCATGATCAGTACAGAAACCAGGCGGAGATGAGTGGGATGGGCAGATCACTGCTTGGGCATTGGTCATCGTGTGGTGAGCAATTTCATTGTGCACCACTTGTATTTTCTTGGGGTTTATTTCTCTCTTTTTAAGATATTCCGTTTCATTACAATTACTATTATATATTGTTATTATTATATTTTAGTTTAGTTATTAAACCATTCTTATCTGAACCCACACGAATAACTTGTTTTTCTGAGTCTCCTCCCCATGCCACTGGGAAGGGGGAGGAGTTAGTGAGTGACTGGTGTTTAGCTGCTCCTGGGGTTAAACCATGACAGCAGACCCCTATAGACTTAAGAGTGTATTTAGAGGACCTTATTTAAGGTTATGTTATCCTAAATGCTCTTGAGCTGTTATTCAGAAAAAAAACTAAGGTACTGGTTTAACGCGGTATTTGAAAATGAGACAGTAAAACCCATCAGACTGCAACATCAAATATGTGGAAGCTGTGTCTGCAACAGAAGGATCAAGTATTAAATTAACTAGTGCAGATGTAAATACTCAGATGGATAACCCATCCTGGTGGTGTCAGCACAGGAACAAGCAGTGTCCAAACATCAAATGATTTAACTTGTGACCCAGAGTCATTACTGACTGACATGGTGGACAGAAATGCTTGATCTGACAAGTATCAAGCAGCAAGTTTATATTTTATGACCACTTGTCAGAACAACAAAACTGAGATTATACTAGAAAATTACTTGGCATAATTTAATGGAGAATTTTGGCCAGGTATTGGATAGGATCCATTCAAGCAAAACCTACCCGAGTCCATACTTCGGCAGTACAGTGAATCCAACCTTATACCTTAACCCTGAAAAGCTTCAAAGCTATGTAGTGAAAATATATTGACAGTGAAAAAAAAAACCCAGAAAATGGTATACAGAGTAAGACAATCCAGACTTGCACCCTTGTGCTAAACTCACTCAAAATTTCTATAAGATTTCTCTAAAATATTTTCTTTGATTATGACCTCCAGGAAGACACTGTTGCTTCAGTACAGAGCTACCAAATCAGTGCAGTCCCACCTGCAGAGTGTGAAATGAGGAGGGCTTTACTCAGGATAGATCACTGTTGGGACTGTGTGGAAGAAGACCACATTAGAGCCACACAGCCAGATCTTTTCATCCAGAAGCTGCCACCGCTACCACTTCAATGTGTCCTTCAAAGCTGACTCCATAACTAGAAATCAGAGTTTAATTTTGGAAAGTTTAAGCTGTCCTCGGGACAACTGCCAGATGACTCGCTCTCGCACCTTTCCTTTCCAGGCACTATATGCACTATCCCAGGAAAACACAAAGTCTGAATCAAAAGTCTTTGTTTTATTGAAAATAATTTTACTGCTGACTCCCTGTATCTTCCCCATCTATGCAACACCATTTCATTTCTTCCCAGAAACAACATGATTTCAGTTGTATTCATGTTGCTGAACTGCAGGAAACCATTGCTGTGGAAAAAACAGCTGGAGGCCAGTGACAAACTAACTGAAGTGAAATCTCTTAATTTTTTTCAGTCCACCTGTCTCTTCCATTAAATAAGCACACAAAATCATAAATATGAAAAGTAACCCTTGCTTCCAGCACAAAATTGCAACAGAAATAGGATATTCGGGCAAGAATACTCATTATTTTATGCTTTTCAAGATCAAGCTAACAGTCTGAAAGCTGTGCATAGTATTATAGCAAAAATGAAAGCCGTGACATCCACTCCCAAGTTTTCAGGTTCTCAGCTAGCCAAAGTGGTATTTGTCTTGTTGATGTTCGGAGTAAATTAGATGTTGTGGTATCAGTAATGAGAGCTGTGAATGATGCATGAAATGACACAATTTCTGTGCAATGCATGGAAGGAATAATTATTTTATTCTGATTTGTGTCAAATCATCCAAACATACCCATCCCTGCATACAGCACTTCCATGAAATTCTACCTGATCTCAAAAGTTCACCATTAACATCCTGGGTTTGTTGCAGATTTCTTTGCATTTTCTCTTCTCTCTTCCATGAAACCATCGTTCAAATCCCAGAAAAGAAACTTTAATTGTTACACTGTTCTCCCTCCAGGCTGCTAGAAGGCAGAGCAAAATCTAGGAAGACAAGATGCTGTTGGCTAAAGCCAGAGATGGGAAAATAGAAGGAAGCATGAGGGCACTTAGGGTCTGCAGGTCCTTGGCTGGAACTGGAGACCAGGCAGTGGAGTCTTTCCTGCTGGTTTTATAAATTGCTCCACAGGTGAACAAACATTAAGTAAAGGAAATAAAGTCTTGTGCTTGCTTTCTCACACGTCAGTAGCAAAATTTTCATTGACAGAAGCTGCAAGGCTAAACTACACTTTTCATTCATGGGCAATTCTGAGGTACTCAGCCTAGTTCTGAATAAAATTTAATGATTATTAAAAATTGAGTAATCCAGAAAAAATGTTCCTTATTCATTCAGGCATCTTTAAATAATCCCCAAAATAATTTGTGTTATTCATAGTCTCAGGGAGGATACTATACAAAGTACAGCTGAGATGTATTTATTTTTTGTGTGTGTCCAGGACTAGATTTAGCAATTTGACCAAAAGAAGTAAAAAGTGTTAATGCAAAACCATTTTTGCCTTTGACGTGACAGAAGCGACAAAGTACCATTTTGGCCTTTTCTCCAAACTTGAAATATCTACAAAATGGTGTGACATTTAATATTTCTTTAAAATGAAATGTTTTCTTGTCCTTTGACTGACCAAATGCTGAATGAAATCAACATGAGAGAAGAATAATAGGAAAGCAAACAAAAAAAAGCATTTATGATTTGTTCTTTTAGCTATCAAATATATTTTCTATGAATTATTTCTCAAATATCAAAATGCATAGCTAGATAATTTTCCAAAGTAAGGCTGCTTTCTTACAAATGTGTTTTCCTCTTTAGGAATATTCATTGTGACAGACTAGGAAGCAAGGTTATTGTCAAAGATGTTTTCTCTCCTTTTCTTGCTATTACAATCACTCCAATTCAAACCTCGGTTAATGAACAAAAGTTGTTCTCGATTATTTCATTTCCTGGCATCATGATCTATTATGGAAAAAAGGAGGTCAAAACATGTTGACAATTACTATGATCAGCACGACCAAGGTAATTAGTGTGAATAGTGTGGCCATGATTACCTTATAACACTTTTTTTTCTTTAGTTTGTATGATGCAATACTTATCTGTCTAAACTGTCCCTTCAGTTTAAAAAGGCTTTTAAAAAGGCTTAATATGCACAGAAATTTTCTCTTAAGTAACTGAAATAACAGCTGTTTACAAACAGTCATTTGTCCTATTGGAACAACTTTATTTTTTACACTTTTGCATATTATTCAGTGATAATATCCAATGCCTGAAGAAGCAAAGTTAGGGCCTCTAGACTGATCCAGCTGCTTGTATCTACAGTAATTATTTCAGAAGTCAAGAACATCAATATGAACCTTGGAAAGACATGTGAACTGCGCCACTCAAAGTTACTATGATAGACTTGGGCTGTGTTGCATCTTTCTACATCTGAATTTCCAGCAGATAAGACAAATCTTGCTAAAAGGAATAAGTTTTAGTTAACAGCAGTTCAAAGTTTCTGTAGAACACTTCTATTCTTTCCTCAAATACTTTTCTAATTTTTAATCAAACTAAACTGACATTGTCCTAATGATCTTTAATACATGTAAGAAAATAACTTTTCTATATTAACACATGTAATTTTTTTTAATCATGGAATAAATATTTCAGGTTGGAAGGGAACTCAGGAGGTCTGTAGTTGAACCTACTCCTCAAAATGGGTTGGTCATGAGGTCAAGCAAATCTCCAAGGACAGAGACTGCACAACTTCTTTGAGCAACGTGTTCCAATACTTGACTATTTCAATCCATTTGGAACCCTCTTGTTTCAATTTATGCCCCCTGCCTCTTGTCTGCTCACCATGCACCACTGTAATAATAAAAAATAAAATATTGCATTAATTTGAAAGGTAAAAGGCTCCCCCACCCCCAAATGCCTTTATATAAGGAAAAAAAAAAAAGTATTATACCTACTTCAGCCCATTTAGTCCACCTATTTATAGCAGCCTACAAGAAACATCTCACAAGTCTGATTCACACCATCTAGTGTAGCTCCATTGAGATTGCCAAGGGATACAATGATCAGTATATTTGCTCATCAGTTTCCCACCTGACTTCAACTGAGCTGTGTCACCATCCTTTGAATACTCCAGGTTCAGTCCCAAAATTTATTTACCTTCCTTAGACAACCTGGCCAAGAGCTTCAGTCCTCTGAGTCTCCCAGTGTGGCATCTGAATGAAAGGAGATGGCAACAGCTGCTCTAACTACCCTATACCTTCTTTGCAATCAACAAAACTGAAGATACATGCCAGCTAATGATAAGTAAACTTAGATTAAGACACATCAAGAGTGATGAAAAATGCAACTGATTTTTTTCATTGCCTATAAAAGAAAAGCATGAGATAAACCCCACTCTTTCAATCTGGGATTTAGAGCTTATAGTTCCCAGCACTGGGGAATGAAGATAGCAGAGTGGAGATCCACAAAACTATTTACCAAGACCTAAAGCCTGTTAGCATTCATTTAGAAAGCCCCTCTGGATGGGATTCATCTCACTTCACCACAGACATCCAAGCTAGACAGCTACATCTCCACTAGCTCTCCAGCTGCCTGCTGAGACATTTTTTCGTATTTCTTTCAGGATTAAATAAATCACATTTCACACTGCCAGCTGACTACAGTTGATGACCTGAGATATCTCAAGTGAGATGAGATAAATTCAACTCTTTGCATCCATTAGGCCTCTTCTTGCTGCTTAACTAATCAACAACTGCAAAACTTCCAAAGATTAGTAATTCTACAGTCAGCAGTAAGACTGGACAAACATCATTACTCACCAACAGACTGTGAACACATAAAAATTCTAGGATTGCCTTATATTACATTGCTTCCTTAATGACTACTTACAGGACAAGCCTTCTTAGCAATTAGTGAAGTGTTAAGTCACATTTTAGTTTGCATAGTAAGGGTGGACTAATTTTCAGCTACTTCACTATCATAAATAATTTAAATCTGTGCAGAGATGACTTTCTGTAAGTGCTTGAGCAGTCAATTGACAAGTTGTCAAATGGCCAGTTGCAAGCCCTGAGGAAGTTAAGAAACTCTGTGGCAGCACAGGAAACTGATAGAAAAGAGATTAAAAGCTTTTAATGACCATAGACTAGTCCATTGCTGTAGAACTTGGGATAAGTTAAATATAATCAGCAAGTTATTAGCATAAGCCCATGAACTTTAACTGGTAACTTTGGCATGCCCAAGAAGTACAAAAGTGTTCAGAAGTAGCCAGAACAAGATTGTGAACGCCAACAGTAAATGCAACCATGGCAGTGCAGTTTACATAAAGTAATCATCAACGAGGTATTGTCTGCCATCCCAATAACTAAGGTTAGTGGGGGTAACCAGAGGACAAAGAAAGACTGGTGGGAAACTCCGTGACCTAACACCAGGTTTCAGGACTATCTATCCAACCTCTGAGGTACCCAGGGAGTAGAGAGGGCCCTAGGAACCCCACCACCCAGGACTATGCACAGCATGGCTGGAGATGTAGTACAGGAAAGTCACGTAACCTGTAAACTGCATATATCTGTGATTAAAGTGTGTTGATATCTGAGTCCATTGATCCTCCACACTATGTTCCTTCTATGGTGACAACTGCATAGAGACCTGAGACCAAAATAATCTCCTTCCTATGCTGTTACCAAGAAAATTGGCCAGTTGCTGGACGTAGATGACAGGGCAATAAAGCTCACATGTGGAGTTTTAAAAAACAAAGAGAAGAGACAGGTTATAACTCAGCCTTCTCATAACTTGAGTATTATGTGTGCTTAGAAACCCTGAGTGAAATCGAATACATCTTGATTTAGAAGTGCCATACCAAGAAATATCAGCTGATTTGGGGGCAGATTTAAGAAGCATGGCTAGACAGCTGCAAGTTTCTCATTTTTGAGTCCCATGAAGTGGGAAAGAGGAGGAGGAAAAGGAGAAGAATGAAGGGAAATTCATTCATTTTTCCAAGCTTGGCAGGCTGGGTCCTGCCAAAGGGACAACAGTGGAAGGAAGGAGTATGTGCTGCAGGTTACACTTAGCAGCCGGGAGAGGGACAAGTTGTGATTTTTAAGCACATATATTCTGTGGTGCTGTACTGAACCATCTACAGATTCTATAGATATTCAAGTTTTGCAGCAAAGAGAGGGAATATGATTTCTCTTCAGCCTTAAGGAATGGGAACTAAACCCTCACTACCTCAGCTCTGCAAGAGGCTAAGGACACCTATGTAAGAATTGCTGCAATTTTATTCAGATGACATTAATAAATGGTATTTTTTTTTTCATTTTAAGGCTCTTTTTTTTTTTTTTTTTTTTTTTTCCTTGCCACATGTAAGCAGTGTTGTAAATGTGGTTGGTGTGATTAATGGTTCTATAAACTTTTAGCTCATATTAATATGACTTGATTACAACAAATAAAAGCTATAGAAACTCAGTGAAATATATGGATTGGATTTTGGACTGTTACCATTAACAGAAAGTACTAAATGTACTAAAAGTATCACAGATTTGTCATTTTGATGCTCTGGAGATTGGTTTCATTATGTATCATACATTTTGATACAGAAAGGTATCTTAGCAGATGAATATATGCTTTGAAGGACAAAACTTTAGATATAACATAAGAGAAACATTTTTCCCTAAGATCGTAACAAAAGTCAAATGATCCATGAAATAAAACCTGAAAAAGCCAAACCCCTCCTGTTAATAAAACACATTGAGAAAACTTTTAACATGTAAGCTTTCAAATAAAAATTTGAGTATACAATCTAATTTTAACTTTGATTGCCAGAAGTTTATTGATTCCACAAGTTGCATGAAATTTTCAAATTACATGGTCTTTTGTCTGCCACAGTTTTCTACACAGAAACTTTTGTCTAAATAAATTAAAAATTATCTAATCAGAAGTCAGTTCTGAACAACCCATTTGCATTAATGTCATTATTAGGTTCCTCACTTTTCATTATTAACTTCACCATTTGCCCTTTCCATCCTACAAAGGAAATCCAAATTTCACAGAACTTTTCTCCATTGATACGGAAAATAGTCTCATGTCAAATTAAATAATTACCAAAAAAAGCAAAGTGTAGTACAACAAAAAATGAAAACCTATGAAACATGGTAAAGGAATAGTATCAGTACAGTGGGAAGAACCTCCAGACAACCTGGTTCTGTCAGGTCTTTGTACTGGTTACCTTCACAGTTTATCACATTATCAACCTAATAAATCACCTTTGTATAATGTACATCTCTATTCCACTTGAAATAATTTCTCTAGAGGTTTACCTATTGTATCTGTGGTGAACTGAATGCACGTAAGCCACTCCCAGTAGATAAAAGCTATTGCAGCTGCTTCACATGGAAATCTGAAACGTTTAAACTCTTCTGTTTCATCAGAGACATCTGTTTCCATGAGTTTTTAAAGGCTATCTTCTTTTCTATTGCCAATTCACCACCTATCAGTCAAATTTGTATTCTTTTCATTGTATCATTCATTAAATTACTTCCCTATTAATATTCACTTATTAGTTTAGCTGCCTCAGAGTTTATCTTGATAAAAGCATTCACCAAAACCAGTCCAGCATAATCCAGAAATAAAACAGATTTTTTTTTTTAACCTAAAAAAGTAATTTTAAATAAGATCCACTTCTTAAGTCTCAAAAAATAGGTTAGTCTGTATCAGAACAGTTACTAAGCATAAACCTATGTAAAAGAAAGTTATGAAACTGGTTATTGAAATTATTATTTTTATTTTGAAATAAAAATTATAACTAAAGAATCTGAAATTTGTGTATAAAATATATATCTCAAGCATTATTATTCACAGAAGAAAAACTTCCTTACATACCTATTTAGTCTTCTACATGTTATTTTTGACCCTAGTTTACTCATTTTAGCAAAATAACAAGTCAAAAACATAGGGGAACCTCCTGTGCAAATATATTGCACTGGAGGGAATAAATATGCACTCCTGCCCACTTTCATTTTCTTTTACATGCCATGCACTTAGAAAAAAGAGTTTCCGCTCAAGTTCTTTAATGTTTTTAGGCAAATAAAAGGTCACTGAATCCTGTTGAAGACCCTACCACAAACCACATTTTTTTCTGAGAGAAAATGCAGTAACTACAGGACTTACATTATTTTCCATCCCCTCTAAGTGAAGGTTCGAAGAGTCACTTCTTTCTATGCAAGAGGAACATTTCTCAGCCCAGTTATCTCCCAAGAAATAGCTGGAAAAACCTCCTCACTGCCTTTATCATCTCTATTTCCCCTTTCAGCAATCCCTTGCCACTCGGGCAATACTCTTCCTTCAGGAACTGTGTTATTTGTACATGGGGGGTGTTGAGGGAGGCGTCTATTTAGCCATCAGAGTAACTGATGTGATTATACAAGGTCCCATGGGAAAGGCTGTAACCTCAGTAAGCAAAGCTGGGGAGGCTCCAAGCTGAGCATTTCTTTTAAGATATTGTTCCATGCCTGGATTTCTGAGTGTATTTCACAGAAATTCAGGAGTGAAGCAGAAAAAAGTGCATGGGAAACTTGGGATCAAATGTGTTTGTCAGCCTCACAGTGAGAGTTGTCTGTACAGATTTTTCATAAAGGGCATTGGCCTTTATATTTTATTTGAATATTTCAGTTCTGTGCTTTAGTGAAGTCAGAAAATGTATGATGCTGAATCTGTAATTATACTGAAAGACTGTGACAGAAGCTGGGTAGAAGGCAAGAAAAGTGATGACTGTGTCTGTGTGTGTATACATGTATACATGTGTGTGTATATGCACATATATATATATATATATATATATATAAATAGAATCCAGTGCATATTTATGATTCAGTTTAATTATAGATAGATAGTTATAGATAGATAGATAGATAGATAGATAGATAGATAGATAGATAGATAGTATATGCAAGGAGTAGTTGAGGAGCCTGGAAGGATTCACTCACTCCTGAAACCTGCAAATCCTTCATGGCTGAAACCACTGTTGGATAGGATGTGAGAAAGACTATCTTTGCAGCTATGTCTGCACTACTAGAAAAATGGGACAGGGGCCATTCTCTGGTCCTGAAGATAAATGGCACAGTAAGGTTTTGTCCATAAAATTAAATTTTCTTATGCTTCAAAAACAGGGAGGGAAAACAGGAGTCCTCCTCTCCAAGGAGGGACCCGTGCAATTTTAGAAGATCTTGCCTCTCCTGTAGGAGAACCAAGATTTCTCCTATTGAGTGTGCTCATTTCTTCATGTGGCTTTGCTTAGGGACAGAGTGTGCTCTCGCCGACAATTAATCTGACACAAAGGAACCTGAATGTAGTATTTCTGAATTACTCAGGCTGATGATCTTTTTAAGGCAGAAGGAAAACATCTTCTTTGCAGCAAGCATTGGCTGCGCAAAAACAATTTTTAATCATCAGACACTAAAGAGAAAAGTTAAGGCCGATACATTAATTTCAGACTATACTTCACTTTAAGGACATCCAGTATTTCACCAAGTTAAAATGGGATGAATCAAAGGAAGGAAAGTCAGCTGACCTCTGGATGGAATACGAGATGGTATCTCTGCAGTGTAAGAATGTACTAAAAATGGAGCACTGTTTCAACCCAGAAGATCTGGGTGTCGGATCCTTTCCTACACTAAATATCAGGATCAATAAAACAGTTTTTTACCCTATCTATATTTTGTCCTTGGCAGCTTTGACTGAGGGAGAAGTGGAGCTTTCAAGGAAAGTAGTCTTGCAGTATACTGAGACAAATACTATTTATTTTCTGTTGAATTTAGGTTGGTTGCCGGTCTACTTCTATTGTTAAAGTTACCTTCTTTCAAAGTATGTAGGACTGTGACAAATGGGAGAAAGAAGTCATGATGGTACACCACATCTCAGACTTTGATTAATTGGTGGAACATTACCGTCTCTTGGCAAAAGTTCTGGTTCATTAGGCTCTAAATTTAATGAGTGTTGCTGTAGGAAGTTAAACAATGTCGCAGATATTTTGGACAGGGTACTGCACGGAAGGTTTAATTTCATGTGAAAAAGCACATCTGTAATGATCAGGAAGACTATTCACAACAGAAATTTGGAAATATCATGGCAGGTTAAAACAGAAAAAAGATTTATTAATCCATCTGACTTCACAATTGTCATTGCTATCACACTTTAACAACACTTATAGAATGTAACATGTTCAGACCAGTCACATGAATCTCAGACTTCATGACATAAATTCAATTCATATTATCTCTTCTTGTTCCCTGCAAGCTATCCGTCTGTCACAGGTATTATATAGCTTTAAAACCATCTGACATTAATTTCATGAAATTTGAAATGTTTGAAGCTCACTTAGGTATCTGTGAAGATGGGAAAAGTTCACGTCCTTTGTATAAATATCTGCACTTTCCGGTAATATGGAAGGAATCGACAAATAATAAGAGTAGATTTAAAAATATATTCATGCCCCCCCCAAGAAGCATATGGATACCCAGTAGGATTTTCAGTATCTGAATGACATTGCAATCAATGTGACAAGCTTCTAAACACTTTTAAGAATGCCACTGTAAAGTGTCTCTAACATCAGTTACATAGATAGCTTTCATATCCACCTCCAATGCTAATTTACTTGCATTTCACCCAAAGTTATAGATGGAAAACAGAGTTGAAATAACAGCTAGTCTTGGCTTCCTCTCTGATAGATATTCTCCTCTGCTTTGGGGGAATGAAAACCTGCAGTTTCCAGAGGCAAGAAGGAATTATTGTCATCTATGGGTGAAGAAAACAAGGGCACCTCATGTTTATCTCAGACTTTCCCAGGTCCTTGTCTTAACCTTGAGATGGACAAGTTACCTGTCATCTCTGGTCCAAACTGAATCAGAGATAATCTTAGCTCTCAGTAATTAAAAATATCCCAGGGTGTTTTCAAAGGGCACTTTTTTTTTACAGGTTGCATTCAGGGTATATTCCTTGTATGTACTGAGTTATCCAAATCCCTTGACTACTCATGGCAAAGAGATAACTAAGTTAGTTCTAGCAGTCAACCAGTTTTGCCCCAGTGATTGCTTGAGAAAGCAGGTGTCTTGCATCATCTGTGCTGCAAAGATGCTTTGGGTCACAACTCACTATGTAGACTGCAAAGGATATCAAATACGTGAAAAAAATGCAGAAATGTTGAATTGTAATAGCTGAACAAAATGCACATTTAGTTGAAGGTGAGAAGCAGCTGCCTAGGCTCAATTGACTGCACTGATGAAATCTGCTCTGAGTATAAATGGGAATTTAGATGTGTCCCGCCTCCTTTTAAATGCAGGGAGAGAAAACAGAGATTCCTTGCTGGACAGGGAAGGGTGAGGCACCTTTGACATTGACTTTTTCTTCCCTGTTCAAAATTAAGTCCTCATTTTGCCCATTGTACTCACAGCAAGGCTGTTTGAGTCCCCTCTCCTCCATCAGTTGGAAAAGTGGAGAACCTCCAACCTCAGCACAATTCAAGTCAATGAGAGCAGCTGGAGGGAAATAAACCTCAAGCTAAAAGAAATTTTTAAAAGTAGAAATGTAAATGCTGCCATGACAAAATCTCAACTTTGTTAAACGAAGAAAAAGAGCCAAAAACCATTCTCCATTTGTAAAGAAAACATATGGAAATAGCCTATAAAAATCAAGGTGTTTAGTGGTAAAATGTATAGAGGTATTTAAAAATCTGAGCAATAGCTGCATTTACAAATGTTTCAGAAATGGCTTAATGGAAGTGGGCAAATATTTGATGTTAATGGATATTTTAACTTAAGAAAAATTAATACTTAAAGACAAGCGAAACATATTCATGTGATGTATGTTTGCTATTAGAAAAGAAGAATATTCATTAAATGTAATCTACAGTAAAGCTGAACAGTCAGCTTAAATTGAGATTCAAATTGCCCTTCCATTTTACCCTCCACAGCATATCAATAACTTTGGGGTAGGGAATGGTTACTTAAAGATAGTACAAAATAATTTCATTTCTTAGATCTTTTAAAAATAACGACCAACTTATTTCTGTATGTATCCTGACGATTCTGTAATTGGTATGTGTGTACATACCTATCTGTTATGATAAATTATTGTATTTTATAGCAATCTAAAAAATAATAAATAGAAGGTAGATTGCGAAAAATTAAATATCATGTGCAGCAATCAGTCAGTATCTATCCAGGTTTTTACACAGATTTCATTGTTATAGTAACAGGGACACAACAGCGAATACAATGATAGCTTTAATTGGAAGAAAGCAGATGATGTGCACAAGTGCAATATTTTTTTAACATATATCTGAAATTTCACAACATCACCAGATTTAGTAAAGATTAATTGCTGGTCCTTTCTGAGAAGTTAGATATGATTTGGATATCTTATTCCTTCTGCATTTCACTATCATCTTCTTTTAAGGATATAGTGTGGGTTTTAATTTTGTAACCATAGTTTTTCATTTCATAAAGGTGTATCAATCAGAACCATTTCAACTGCACAGTTTAGGAGAAAGGAGATGAAAACCAAATAGAAAGTGTTAATTTCTAATGCATAAAATAAACCTGAATTCTTCATCTGGGAAAGAAAAAAATGTGAGTGTTGTGATAACTTTTCTTCACTGCTGCTAACAACATCTTATGTTAAAATTCTCTTACAGATTTCAGATATGTAATGCAGAACTATAAAGTCATTAATCAAAAGAAACCTTACATAGCAATGTGCCTATAACTAAAATAATAAATTTAGCTTTTTGATTACAAGTATTGTGATTTCTAATGCCAAACAACACAGCCAGGAAAAAATTAATTTTGCAACTTCTGTGTATGTACTATTTCAGTATAACAATTCCAGTTAATTTAGAATTGCTTAACTGATATGGTTTCAAACAAATAAATGAAGGCCTGTATTACTCATCTTATGCTTTCTCTTTCCCATAAAAAAATCACCATAATGAGATATATATGATAAAATCTCTATTGGGGGTGTGTGTGGGTGTGTGGGTGTGTGTGTGTGGGGGGTGTGTGTGTGTGTGTGTGTGAATGTTGATTTTATTCTGTCAATGAAATTATGATGTGGAAACTAACCTCCAAAATGCATAACTGTTTGTCAGCTCAGGAGCTATGTTCATCCGTACAATGTTCCTCTGACTTTACAAAACTAGAACCTTTTCAGTGTCTTTTTTTTTTTTTTTTTTTTTTTAATTACACTTTTATAATACAATGGAGACTAAGAACTTCTGGTCAAGAGGGGAAACTCTCATAAATTGCTGTTTATGGGATGAG